TAGAATAAGCTAATACGGCGTCTGTACACTCACAGAAACAAATCGTTGAATCAACATGATTGTTTATGTCAATTGATTTAAATGAATGAATTCACCCAACTCCTTCAAAACACTTCAGATTGACAAAAACTGACAAATCAAACACTTTGTCAGTGAACATTTTTCATTTGTTCGCTAAACATAAACAAATTTTGTTACTTTAACAGCAAAAATTATATCAGCTGCTTTCCTTCAGCTGATATGTTTTGATATAACAAAATTTTTCTTAAGTTAACTGAATTCAAATTAAAAATACATATTAAAGCTGAGGAAATATCTAAAATAGTAATCATTTCACAAATATATTCAGGTTGTATCAGATGTTGAACAAGACTTTTTTTTTTTTTAATCTAACCATAAAATAGAAACCTTTTGTCATTTCTAACCAGTAGATGTACTGTGACTGTATATTAAATGAATAAAAATATGCAATGCTTTCTGGAAAACCAACCAGCACTCCTCTGAATCCCAAACCTTCACATGTCCTGATGTATGAGGTTGCGGCGATCTCAAAATACAAACCAAGGAATATCTGCAGTAATGTAAGCTCGATGTTTTCCCCCCTCCAACAACTCATCATCAGTTTATAACGATCACATTTCCAAAAGGTGAACCATACTGTAAAGATGACGAGCCCAACATAGACCGTGCTTTTAAAGAGTGAAGGTACAACTTTGGAAACTGATACTTCCCTAAGAAAATTTTTTTAAAAACCCTCATTTGTCACCCTGTCTCTGAGCCATGTGTGACTGCTAAAAGTGAGTCTGTGGTGAGGAAAGCAGCCTAGGAGAGTGATGACCTCCGGATCTGGAACGAGGCTTTGAAGCGTCTCTCTCTCTCTCGCTCTTGGACGTGTCCGCCCTGGAGGATCCACTCTTGTCTCTCCGTGTTCGTCCTCTGCGCCTCGTCGCTCCGTTTGACCGCCAACTGCTCTGGCGCTCTTGGCACGTGGTGATTATGGCGGATCCGCATGAAGACATGTCAGTGATGTAATGAAGCAAAGCTTTTTGAATCAAGTCCATCCTGTGGCCATGTTGTTGCCGTAGCCGTTTTTGGACTGTGTGTGTGTGTGTGTGCACGTGTGTGTGTGTGTGTGTGTGTGTGTGTGTGTGTGTGTGGTTTTGGGACAGAATCATTTGTCACCTGCGGTTTCACATGTCTGGTACTGAAACTGATGACAAATCTTTGAGGTGTTTTCCTTTTTTTCTGTTTTGCTTGTGCGTTCACATTTGTTGGCACTTCAGTGGGTGATGTCATCCTCAAGAGGCTCTTTTCGTTGCTTTTTATTAGTCTGCTGTGCCTCTGCAGACATTTTCAGACCGTGGACTTGTGTGTATGTTTAGAAGCCTGGAAGTGTTCAACAAAACCGAATGGGTTTTATTGTGTTTTGACTGATTTAGCAACATGAACAGTGTTTAAAGCTGCAGTATGTAAAGTTTCTAAAAAAAGAAAACAAGAATGTTTCTTTTCATATTCGCTAAAATTATCATTATGTTGTGACGGTATGATAGATAGTCAGTGAAATACAACTAACTGCAGATATACTCAGTTGAAAAGAACTAGTTGGAGCAAGGAGGAGTGTTGTAGCGCTGTCAATCAAGCTTGTGCACACCCTGCACCACCAGAACATGCTGAGGCCGGTTAGCATAGCCACAATGGATAAACGCTTATTTTTCTGTAAAGGGGAGTTGTTTTTCCACCGCAGGGTATTTAAGAAAACATCAACAAGTTGATGTTTTCTTAAGCACATCAACTTGTGCTTAAGTTGATGTGCTTGATCACATCAACTAGCACATTTAGCAGCCTATAGGAGGTTGATTGGCGGCGCTAAGTCCCGCCTCCTGCCTCTGATTGGTTGTTTTTCATCAGAAGCAGTAGCAGCACTGGGAGGAGGTGAAGGAGCTCGAGTCTTTCACAGATTATCTGCCTCATCTCACACTGTCACAACAGGGTGATGCTTTCAATAAATGTGAAAAAAACAACATATTTTTGTAAAAGTTACATTCTGCAGCTTTAATTGCAAAAAAATATGAAAACATTTTCAAAATTCCTTAACACTTATGATCCAGAAAATGAGGCGCACATTTGTTTTCAGTCCCTTCCTGTTGGGAAACTGGTTCCCCAAAATAAAACAGATCCCTGAACAAAACATGTTCATTGCACAACATGGGGGTGGCAGCATCATGCTGTGGGCCAATCCTCTAAGAAAACCTTAGAAATTCCAAGAACTTGAAATTTACGTTTCAGCCGCCCTGAGGATACACTTTGAATGATTTATTGAAAAAGATGGACTAGTCAAAGGCCAGGCCTAGAACACTCAATGATGCTCCCTGTTTTATCTGACTGAGCTTGAGTTATTTTTTGCAAACAATTACCGCTTCAAGACTTTGTAGCTAATTGGAGCACAAGGCGGATCTACAAAGAACGAACTCCGGCGGCTGAACACAAAAACCTCACCGCATTTTTCTTTAATTACAGTTTCCTCTAGAGTTTCATTCTTAACAACGTTTGAAAACCATGTCTCCTTTTCCCTCCGCTCCAAAATGACACAGAACATGAAACCATTTGGGGGAAAAAAAAAATACAAAACGCATGGAGAAACGTGTCGTTGGCGGGCCGTGACTGCTTTGGTGAGGAACCTTCACTGTGATTTCTGCCTGAGTGTTTTTGTTGCATTCAGTGGCCGTTCGTTGCAGACCACATGGAAGCGCCGGCATTCAGACGAGCCTGCCAGCCTCCCCTCATGAGCACCACTGCCTCTTTGTGCCTACGGTGAAAAAAAAAGAAAAGAAAATGATGTCGGTGTATACAGTTTTTGATCATTCTGGCTTAAAAAGCGGAGAACTTCTACCTTTCAGGCACGTAAGGAAGTCTGAGATGTAAACTAGACGCTCGGCGGGTTTAATCTGTTGTTAATCAGCCCCTTGGAAAACTCACTCAAGCGTCAGATGCTGCAGATTGCTCTCTTTCTCCTCACAGTTCTCCCTCTGTCTTTTTTCCCCCAGTCATCTCTCCCTCCACCTGCTGGTTTTGTCCTCCCCAACCTGCAGCTTTTTCAAAACTCTGCCCACTCTTGTGTGTGTGTGTGATACAGAGAGGCCCAGATGATTAAATCTTTGCCTTTTGTTGATCAGTTTGGCTACTACCGCCATTGCCGGCTCCCCTCCTTTGTCCCAGCGTGTGTGGTGCGTGTTTGAGTCCACGCACGCATGTGTGGGCAGGCGCTCAGATCAAACACAGCGTAAGATGAGCCCATAAACAAGCCTTCAGGACCACTTAGGATTTTCATTCAGAGTCAGTGTTGGTGGGGGCGGGCGAGGGAGGGGGTTAGGTACAGAAATCAGCTGCTATGTTTATGCACCTTTCAGTGGTGATTACCGGTTCAATCTGTCTGCTGTACAGAGGAAGTATCGTAGTGGCGCAGAGAGCGCAAGCACGTGCCCATGGGTGTGTTTGTGAGACCCGGAGAGGCACACGTTCCCGTTGCGGCGGTTTGCTGGGAATTAAGAATGCCAGTGCAGCAGTAAAGTGTTTATACACTCATATGTTCTGCCCTGAGTGACATCAGAGGAAGCAGAGAGCCGCCGTCGGCCCCAGACGGAGGGCGGACCGACGGTATGTGTCAGACGCACCGTATGGCCTTGGCCTGTGTTTCCACACTGGGCGCCATGTGTGTCAGCGTGAGTGGGCTCACACTCTGGCAGGCAGACGCACCGCGCGAGTAGGGGATATGCTCAGAGGCGGATAAGCGACATTATGCACTCAAAACATTGCTGTTATTACATTACCGGTGCAACATTGAGTCATTTTTGTGTCATTTAGTTTGTGCCACCTTGTCATACGGGATCGACTGCCTTATGCTGCTGATAAGCCACGCTCATCTTGATTGCCTAAACATCGACTGAGAATTAAAACAAAAAATTTGAAGTCATGTTGGTTAATCAACATGTTGTGTGATAGAGACCGTTCAGAGTAAAACCTGACACTTCCTGTTCTCAGGGGGCGTGGATCATCACTGATGCCTTATGCTGCTGATAAGCCATGCAGCTTATCAGCAGCATCACTGATTGATCATCAGTGATGATCAATCACTGAAAGTCTGGTGCCTCTGTGAGTTTTTGTGTAGGAGATACAACAGTTTTGTGTTTCATGGTGAGTACGACCTTTGACCCCCTGGCAACGCCCCTTCAGTGTGCTCAAAAACTCACCGTTTTAATAACTTTCAATCGTCCGTGCTGCCTCATGAAATCTGACCGAGTTTGAAGCCGATCAATCGAAATCCCTTGGAGGAGTTCTATCAGTGCGAAGGCTGTAAACGGCCAAAATGGGGTCAAAATCAGGACTTCAGTCCAAAATGGCCGACTTCCTGTTTGAGTTGCTCAATGACATTAATTGAATTGTCTGTGTGTCTTGGGAGCTCTACAAGTGTCTCAAATTTCTCGTCTCTACAATGAAATAAGGGTTTTTTGAAAGTTGCCAGGTGGCGCTGTTGAGCCATTTCTGTTGCGATTTTTGCCAAGACCTAAATGTGCATATTTTCCACGCAGACCTGACGCATCCACCAACTGTGGTGAGTTTTTGAATATAATAAAGTCCCCAAAAAGCCAATTAATTTGGTGGAAGAATAAAAAAAAAAAAAAAAGAAACAGTAGGATTACATTAGGCCTTCGCAGATAAGTGCTGCGAAGGCCTAATGAAAAGTCAGTCTGTGTGCGTCCTCGGCTGTGAGTTAATAAGGGTCAATTCCTCCTTTTTGACTTTAAATGTTTGTTTCACTTTAAACACATGTATCAGTAAATGTATTTTATTTTCAGTTTCAATCATATTTTCCAATGCCAGCGTATTTTCGGGTTAATTTTAAGCTTCGTTTTCAGCCCCATGCTGTCCACACTGATTTGTTCTAAGGAAAGGAAATACCAGTTTCCACCTGCAGCCACCAGATGGCACCAAAGCCACAGAAATGATTTCCAAAAGACAACAAGGAGAAGCGGTATTCCCTTCACTAGTTAGCGTTACGTTCTTACAATAGACCATCTAAATCACGGCTAAGAATATCCACCCGTAAACTGGAGCTGTTTGGGGTTGATTATCCTCCTGGTTCGTTTTCTCCTCGGTCTCGCCCGGCCACCGGAAGCAGTGCGGATAAAGCCGAGGTCGCAAAGTGCGTCACACGGTTGAGCTGCCGGAGAAGCACGACGCGAGAGCTGCAGACCGCCGCCGACAGAAACTCACGCGCGGGTTCCACCTTTTGTGTGCGCGCGCGACTCTCAGAAACCCGAGCGGGACGTGTTGGGCCGCAGCATGGTGAAGATCGCGTTCAGCTCGGCTCTGGCGCACAAGGCGCCGGGCAAAGAGGCGCCGGCGGCCGCGGTGAAGGTGAGCTAGCGGGCCTGGTTCAGTGCGGTTCCGGCGGGGAGGAGCGGGGAGCCGCTGCTGCTCCGGGCCCGAACCCACCGCGAGAGAATGCGGAGCGCATTCATGTGCAAAACCAATGCGGTGGTTTTACTGTCTGACACGTCACAGTGTTACACCTGCTGTAATGTATCATTGTTATTATTTTGGGTCATTTACTGAAATGCACCGGACGCAGGATTCAGATGTTCACTGAGTCAGGATTATAAGCTTGCATAACAATAAAAACATGCATGGATGCAACGCTGCATTATTATCTCTGTGCTATTTGTGTGTGTGTGTGTGCGCGCGCGTGTGTGTGTGTGTTCAGGACCCGGAGCTGGCCTCTGACTCTGCGGCCACAGACGGCTTCGGTCGCCTTATTCTCTACCTGCTGGGGATCTCCTTCATCCTGACTGGGCTCATTGTGGGCGGAGCGTGCCTCTACCGGTACTTCACCCCAAAGGTTTGTGTTTCAGTATGAAACTCCTAAAGAATCTGCACGTTTACGCCATGAAACATGGTGGAATTTTCCATTACGCTGCAGACGTGTTCCTCTACTGAGCTTTCTCAATGCAATGAATGCGATCAGAGACTCATGGAGGGCGAACCAGACCATCAGGGGTTTTGCACCACCGACAAATTATTTTTTTGAGAAATCTGCCAGAAAACTAAACGAGCCCCTTTCTCCACCCAGTGACACACACACACACACACATACACACACACACACTGAAATCAGCATGCATTCACAGTCTTAATACACACCAACAACACAAATATGTAAAGGCATAAGACTTTTAAATAAAGTGTGCAGCAGGTTAACTTAAGATGAGCTTCGTCGCATTGTGTTTTACACTTAACAAGGTTCAGGAGGACTAAAAGTTACAAACCGTGTAATTACTTGGTTTCTATGGCACTCAGAGGCCACATAATGCAGGTCGTTCCGTGTCTGATCTGCAGTAAATAGATATTTATTGCTACCGGGGGTTTCCAATAAATTATTCACATATTTCCAGGCCGGCTGCTGTTGCTCTTGTTGAAGAGGAAATATTAGAGATGTACTCCAAGAGCATTTTGTAGTTTTCATCTATTTCATTCCATCAACACACTGAAATTACACACCACAACGCAGCAGCTTTAAAGAAGAATACAGATTTTTACAGATTTCACAGCAGAAGTGATAGACCAACATCCGCTTGTAAAGACAATAAAACCTGAATGCAACACTCTTAACAATGACATAATATTGACCTAAAAGTTAGGCCTGTGTGAAATTCTTTCTGTTAATTAAAAAAAAAAGTAATATATAAAGTGTTTAGAAATGTTTAAATTGAAAATGTATATAAATTCCCACGTCCAATAAAATGCTACGGTTGCAAAGTATTGTGTTGTCCCTGACTGTACCGTTCCGTTGTCCAATGGACGCACAGCTGAGCTATTGGCCAGGAACGACGTTATACTGGTGGCTTTTACCATGGAAAGACACAAACTATGCTACGGTAACCACGCCATACTTTTATTGAAGTATTTTATTGACCACAGCCAAGAACGTCTGTTAAACCCTGAACAGCCTCAGATTCACCAGACGGACGATCGTAATGGAAGACGTCTTTTCTTTACGTTATTACGACTTTATACATAATGGATGCATTATTCTTCTTCCCATGTCTAGGTCCCCTTTGTTATATCCGTTCTTGTCCCTATTTGGGATTTTGCTTTACCGTTTCCTATGTGATGGGGATAAAAAAAAAAAAGGAAACTAAATCCCAGAGGAGTTTACCAGAATTGCTGTCTTGGCCGACTAAAACCGCCATCAGATGAGATCGCCGCCCCTCCATGCGTGGTTTTTAATCCTAGAGGATTGTCCCGACTCTGGCTTTAATGGGACCAATCGCCAGGCTCCCTGCTAATTCCTCTGCCAGCTTGTGCAGAGATGAGCTGAGAGCCAGGATGACATTTATTTTTTTTTTTTAAAAAACACTCTAACCTTTGTCTCAAATGTTTCCTTAGTCTCGGGAGAGAGATGGCTCACTCTTTCGAGTCTAGGACTATAACTGTTGCTACAAAACACTGACAGTCTTCAGTGGCGTTTCCTGTGACAGACGGAAGGGAAACAAATTAACAAAAGTTGTGATTGTGATGGAAGTGCAAACAAGATTATAATTCTTACAGGTTTTTTTTTTTACATGCGACAAGCGGAAGTTGAGTTCAGCTCTAAAGTATTTTCAAAAGGAGAGTTTCTTTGATGTCAAAAACGAGATTCTTAGTTTTGCGCATAATTGAGATCTTCAAAAAGAAAAAAAAAAGAAGCACTTTTTAACGCCTCATAAAACCGATCCACAGAAACGGTGTTGATCCACAATGTTTGTGATGCAGAATAACAGGAAATGCTGACCTCTAGCTATCGACTTGTGAATTCCTGTCTTTTACAGCAGAGTTGAGAGAGAATAAAACTGAAACAAGTGGAACTTGTTTCCACTTGATTTGGAAAATAAATCATGTTTATTTTCCAAATCAAACATGATTTGGAAAATAATTCAGCAGGTTTCATAGGTCCTTAAATTAGCCTGAAAATCACTTTGAAAAAGTGACTTTTGAACCCACATCTCCTAATTTAGCCAAAACTTGAACGCTAAAAATCTCAGGGACATTTAAGCATCAGTAGAAGTCTTTATGTTGGGTTCCACTTTATCTTTTGCTTTCCAGCACTTTCACAAAAGATCTAGCATTTTGTTTGGGCGTTTTGCTGCAGGAGGGTCTGGTGCACTCTCGTTTAAAAGAGGAAAGAACCTGCATGTTGCATCTCCAGTCGTCAGACAGGAAGTTGAGGCTTGGATATTCTCAAATGGACAGTGGCCCCAACCAAACCAGCTCATCATTTACAAACCGGCAGCAGAATCAACGTTCATCCATCACCAAGTCATTGTGACCGTGACCGAACTCTTTTTAAATCTTAAACCCACCAAACCCACCTTATTCAAATCCATCAGTGTCTGAATGTCTTTGAAGACACAGCCTCAAAACGTTTCTACTTGTAGCTGAGCAGGTAGAGAACCACTGACTGTGTTCATGGACTGTTGTGTTTGCAGAGAAACATCCTGCTCTGTGTGCGGCTGCTCTGAAAAACGACATCAGTCTGTTGAAACCTGCAGCGCAGCATCCTACAGAAGCTAACCTGACACTAAGATTACATTGACAGCAAAAAAGATGATTTTTCCCCCCCATCCTCCTCTGCTTTTGTTAGTTTCATGTCTGCATGATAACAATTTATTCTGGTCTTTTTTCCGGTTGCTGTTTCCTACCCGGGACTGTCTTTGTGTGAATGAATTGTCTGCTTTGACTCGCCACCAGAGGCTGTATCACGGAGCGATGCAGTTCACCGACGTGTCCACCGGGGTGGAGAGCCAGCCCTACTACCTGCCGCGGGTGGAGGAGGAGGTGGAGATCTCGGACAGCATGGCCGTCGTCAGCGTGCCCCCTCCTCGCTTCCGGCCCGGAGACCCCGCTTACATCCTCCACGACTTCAACCGGGTGAGAGCCGCGGGGGGCCCGCTCTCCGTCCCGTTGGCGAGCTCACCGACTTCACACGCTTTTGTCTTTTTTTGTGACGACGCAGAAACTGACGGCGTACTTGGACCTGACTCTGAGGACCTGCTTTGTGATTCCTCTCAACTCTTCGGTGGTCCTTCCCCCGCAGGACCTCATCGACCTCTTCTCACAGCTCATGGTGAGTGACGTCACTAACTGCTCGTATGGCTGCTTGAGGTCCTTGGAAATGTAGTTGACAGTGGTTGGTATCCACACTACGCAGTTTGCCAAGAAAGTGCCATCCAACGTTGATTAAAAAAATCAAAATTTTAAGGCAGTATTTGCAGTTGAAACCAGATATTTAAAGATAATGAAAAGATAAATGCACTTTTTTGCACTCAAAGTCTGAAATTAGATCTGACCAAACTTTCCCCGTTTCCAGTTGGTCAAAATCATTTCCATTTGTGAAGTAGCAGAAAATGTTGGGATAAAACGTTTTACATTATTTAGTAACTTTCTCAGACCAGTCAGGTGTGCAGGATGTGTGTAGGAGAGATATTTAATTAGTTTTTAGCTTGCATTTTTCCTGCTGGAGTAAATGAAACGCTTACGCAAGATATTATTAATAAATAATCGATGTTATGCAATAGTGAAGAGAAACTGTCTTCATCCTTCATTTGTCAAGGTGTTGTGCTGGAGAAGTTTGGAAAATCACCTTGAAAATCTTTGAAAAGTGCTTGAATTTTACTTTGTGAAAAGTGTGTGAACATCCGTTTTCCTGTTTAATAAATATGTCATTAATTTTTTGCTCATTTTTGTCTATGGCAACAACACAAAGTCAAATCTTAAAACAGTTTATTTGATTTGTTGTAGCAGTTTGACCATTAAAGCAAAACACAGATCTATCTATCTGTCTGTCTGTCTGTCTGTCTATCTATCTATCTATCTATTTATGTGTCTGTGTATGTGTATCTATCATTATGTTGTGGTTTATGATTATGCCCCCAAATACAACATGTAGGAACAAAAATCTCATAAAATTGTAAAATAGATGCATGAAAGATTCAATTATTAGATTTAAACCTTCACACATCAGTTCTGTTTACAGTGACATCCCCCCCGACAATAAATATGTAGAAAAGTTACTGGGAAATGTCACAATAGTTTAATGGTAAACCCAAACTTTTTTCTGGTTGTTCCTCTTTCTGAGGGTTCTTCATCGGCAAGTTCAAAGTCTGTGCAGGATGTTTGCATTTATAATATTTGACTCAATTAACAAATTCAAACAGAGTTCGGAGGTATTTTGTGCACACTTTGTTTTCCATGAAAAATTGAATGTTTTTACAGATTTGAGGACAGTGAGATCCACCTAAGAAGAGGAAATGCACAAATGTTTGCTTAAAATAAAAAACTTCTTCTGCTCTACAGGAAGCTTTGCCAGACTTGTTTCTGCAGCATGTGTGTGTGGACACCTTTTTTTCCCCCTTTATTTCTCATAACGGCGGGCTAAAAACAGCGCGGCCTCACCCGTTCCGTGTCTCTTCTCTCCAGAGTGACTCATACCGCAGCTACCTGGTGCGCGAGGACCTCGTGGTCACCGAGCGCATCGAGGACGTCAAGCCGCTGGGTTTCTACATCCGCCGGCTGTGTGACGGAAAGGAAACTTACAGAATGCAGCGTCGGTCCGACCTGCCAGGTACGGACGTGACAGCGGCTAGCGCTGCAGGTTTACTGCAGACAGCAAAACTGTGGACCCGCCGCCATGCCTGGGTTTTTACTACAGAGTCGATTTACATGCAAAACGCGACGCGGCAAAAAAAAAAAAACTCCCAATGTTGTGTGGATCTTAGCACTAAAACCTTTTAAACGCTGCTAACGATTTGACGTCGGGACAACAGCCAAAGCCACAAGCGGATGGTTTAGATGGGAGTACATGAGAGAAACTTCAGACCTGAATTAAATGAGCCTGAGGCGAGACTTTGGTCCTCTCCATCCAACCTGAACGAGGTTCACAAATAGATAAATAAATTAAAACGAGCTCAATAACTCCCATCGGCGTGATTATGTGTTTTTCTCTTTCTACCAAAAACTGGATGATGAAAATCTTTGGTCTCAACTGGCCACTTTTTTTGTTTACAGCCTTCACCATTCATTTTATTCGTTGTTTTTGTTGTTTTGTTTATTTATTTTGAACATTTAAAACGTCTCCCAGTTCCGGTGTTAAACGCAGAATCTAAAAAATATTGATACGGGTCGTCATGCGATCACCATTGTATTACTTGAAAATGCAGCGATATTATTGTTTATCGCCTGGCAGAATTTAACTGAAAATATGTACTGGAAAACTAGAGGTGCAGTAATATCTGAGGTTTCTGAGTCATGCTCAGCTGCTTTTTAAAAAAAAAAAAAAAATTATTATGGTTTTTTTCCCCACGTCCCAAAAAAAGCTACAAGGCATATTTGTTTTTAGCAAGAGGAAGGTTTTATGTGGCTTCAGGCTGTGAAACAGACCCAAAGAGATCCTTTCAACCAAAGAGGATGCTGGATGCCAGAGCACGGTGCTTTGTTTCTACCGGCGGCCAAAACGTCAAAATATAAAAATAACAATGAAACTCCTGCGTTTTAAATATAAAATGTTCACAGGTCAGTTCCAGAACCATTTCGGGAAGCTAACAATGAGGGCTGGAACGGTCATACGAATGAATCGCGATTAATCGATTCTTGAAACAATCGTCAACTAATTTAGTCATTGATTGATCGTTAACCGGAGCATGCGGTCTGATATATAAAAATATAAATATAAACATTTACATTTAGAAACCTCCTTTTAAACCTGTACTACCCAGAACTCCTCATGTTGCATTTTTAACTTCACCCGGTTCAAATTTTGTTTTAAAAAATCTCCTATTAAGCTCCATTTAATAATAATTTTAAAAAATAATCAACTAACTAGTAGACAGTGTTGTTTAGCAGCAGATGCAACCTTTGCCACAGTGATCATGCGTTCCCTCCGGGAATCAATGCTGAGTTGCTGCTTTTTAGGCAGAACATTTTTTTCTTCTTTTTCTTAAAAGTACTTGAATTATTTGCTTATTTTAATGTATTTCTAACATTGTGTGAAACAAAAAAGTTGCTCAGGTGGTTGAAAAAAATGTTTTTTTAAAGCCAACCTTTTTATTCGATTAATCGACTAAAGGTCAGATTCCTAGTTAGAACAAGCGATTACTAAAATGATCATTGGGAAGAGGAACTTACCTTTCCTCACACCTCCCTACTTCTTAGCGTGATTGACTCAGAAAGAAAAAGTTTTGATGTAGAAATGAAATGTTTTTTTTTTTTTTGTCAGGCGGAAACATCCAGAAGCGCTCCGCCGAGGACTGCTTCACCATCCGCCACTTTGAGAACAAGTTTGTGACGGAGACCCGCATCTGCAAGGCCTGATGGGGGAGACAGAGAAAGAGAGAGAGAGAGAAAGAGAGGAAACGGGGTGAATGAGGGAGTGGATGAGCACATTGACAGGAAGTACAACTTTCTGCAGAAAGCTACTTTTGTACAAAATCGTTTTGCCTCCCTTTGCTTCCCGGCTTGCGTGGAGTAAGTTTAGGTTCCGCTGTACGTACGCCTCGCCCCGCATCAGTCCTCACCACCTGCTGTTTTTGTCGTCACCGTAGACGCACTAAGTTTCATTTGCGCCGTCAGAATCCGTTTCGTTCGCCGTGGCTTCCTGCAGACCCGCCCCGTCGTTGTCGTTTGGCTTCCTGCTCAGTATTCCCGTCGTTCCCAGCAGGTGCGCGGCGCCTCTCGTGTTTCCTGTCGCCTCCTTTCCCAGGGCAGCTGCAGCGGCGTTGCCGTGACGCCATCACGCACGTTTGAGCGCACGCTCGTCGTCTCACTGTCACGGTTGCCGACGCGGACGAACATCCGAAAGCCGCCACTCTTCACTGTTTGTAGATATTTCCCAGAGTGCCCTGCTGCTGCTGGGACTCCTCCGGGCTGCCGTGTTATGATTTCGTGAACCTGATGATGAACTGTTTGGGTTTCTGTGTTTGTGTAGACATTTCTAGATGTTAGCTAGTGAAGACCGTGAGCTAAACCAGCGGGACCAAGCCACAGGGAAACGTTATTTTGAAGCTAAAAAAACGTTCATTTGATCGCCTGCTTTGGTTTGTGAATTTGTTCGTATATTTCATTTTAACCTGAAAAAAAAAAAAAAAAAAAAAAAAGCAGATGTAATCTATTCTAGTTGGTGGCAATTGAAGTTTGACTTTTTTTCACTCGTACTTGCTTAGATTTACTTACACGAAAGTGTCACGATTGAGTTTGGAAATCCCTGGAGAAGCGGAAAGAAAAGAGAAAAAATGTGAAAATATTATTTTTGAAATGGCTTCGTGCCAAACAGAATGAAGAGGGGGAAGACAGGGAAACGCTGCGAGGCGTTTCAGTGGTTTGTTCTATGAATCCCACACAGGAAGACAATCAGGAAGTGCTGCAGGCGAGTAACGACAACCCAACTCTGTGTGACTCTACTGAACTGAATTTCATTTTTGTTGTTGAATAAAGTTGCTTTTCTTAACCTGCTTAAAAACCAAACTTCCCTGTGTGGTTATTTGTTCTGTCATGTGTCTCTGCCTTTCTACTTTTTTTTTTTTGCTCTGGAATCTATAACAACATACAACTTCAATTCATTTTAAAAACAAGATTTGGGTCAGAAATTTCAATGCGTTGTGACCTTGACGCTGAATTTTTTGGTCTAGTTTCTAGATGTTGGAGATTTATTTTTTTAAAGTTCTAAATACAGATTTAAAACATATATTTAACGTATAATGACACATTTTCTATGTTGGAAGTGAAATAATCAGCTGGTTTTATGAATATGAAGTAATTACTGGCTGAAAACAAGCTGCTGTTTCATGCTGAAAAGTTGCTCGTAAATTGGTTTTGTCTTATTTCAAGAGTATTCTGATGTTTGCAATAAAAACTAGTCAAAAATACATTTTGCTTTTTGCAGTGGCTTAGTCAGGTTTGTGTCAAGAAACTAGCCAATCAAAATAAAAATTTATTTAATATCCAGCAGCTTGCTGAAGCTGCGTAATCATCTAAATATTAGTTACCTATATAATAGACTGCGTGCATAATTTGATAATTTGAGCGCAAAACCACAGTAAATTCACACTTGTGCGCCCAGTTCTTCTTTTTGAAATGCTAATGTTTATTTCTAAAAGCAAATTGTAGCTTTTAGAAATTATTTCTCTGAGAGCTTTTTTTTTTGGTTTTCTGATGAGATTTCAGAAAAAGGACCAACCAAATAAAAACTAAAACATGTTTTAATTACATATAAATAGGGTAAAGTTTTCACATTTCCGATGTATATTTTCTCACATTCACAAATAATTTATATTTTCACCAAAGGAATGCTCATATTTTATTTGGAGGATTAGTGGTTGTAAAGACGCCGCCTTCTTCCCCAGCGACAGCTACGGAAGCCAGGAATGGACACAAATAGGCAGTTTAACTACACGTTTGGCTAAAAAAAATGAAAATACACGCTGGTTTGTGACTTGGGAAAATGTGTTGAAAATCCCTTCAAAACGGCTCTTTTTTCACACCGCTGTAAGACGAACTTAAACGCCGGGTATATGGCGTCCATTCAGCTCATTGGTGCTTTTTACGTGCGACAGCGATCACAGCGGTGTGTGATGACCTGAATTTCCGGAATTCAGAAGGTTGTCGTTTTCACCGAATTTTTTGGCACCTTTCACAGCGACTTAAGTCATAAACCAGCATATATTTTTATGTTTTTTGCCAGACGTGTAGCAAAAGCAGCGATTTGTGGCACGCGTGGCTTTTCCACAACCTAGTTTGGCTAGGCTATTTGCTAGTTTGCACGCCCTCTTGTGTGGTTAAGCAGGACAGCCGTCTGCTCAAATTGTCCGGCATCTCGGGCTTGCCTAGCCGCCTCCTGAATTCATCGCTCGTGAAGTAGTACATGATAGGATCCAAGGTGCAGTTCAGGCTGGCGAGGCAGAGCGTTATGATGTGACACCTCTGGATCATGTTTCTGGTGGCGCAGTCCTCCAAAGCGCCAGCTTTCACCAGGAAGTCCAGCGGCATGGTGATGTGATACGGTGCAAAGCACAGCAAGAAGACTAAGGTGCAGCTCAGCACCGTCTTCAGTGCCCTATGCTTCTCCCCAAAGTCATGAACGCCCTCCGTCGTCACCTCTTTGAGGCTTGAAATCGTCAAGATCGAGCAGGACACCACCACGACGAGGGGGATGATGAAGCCCAGCAGTTCTGCCAATATAATCAGGAATGAGGCTGTCGCAACACCAATTTTTTTCGTGGGCAGCTCTGAAAAACACTCCCCTGGTTTCTCCGACTTCTCCCTCACCAAGGGGAAAGCTATGCAGATCACGCAGACCAACAGCCAGCCGAACACGCTCATGAAAATGTCTCCCTTCGGCCTCGCCTTGTACATCAGCGGGTTCACGGTGAGCTGGCAGCGACGCACACTGATCAACACCAGGAAGTAGATGGAAGCGTACATGTTGACGTACTTGAGGTAAAAGCTGAATAAGCAGAGAGGGTGACCGAAGGGCCAGTAGTTGTTCAAGTAGTAGTAGATCCGCAGAGGCAGCGACAGCACCTGAGGACAGAGGCACAGCGTTCAGGAACAGCCGACGGAGGACGAGCACAAAATCACATCGACTATGAATGTGTTTAGAAAGATTCTTTGTTAAAGTGGCAGTATCGTGTGTTTTCCAGCCACACAGAATCAATTTACAGCGCAACCAAGTAACTATGCTACCTTCAGTCGTTATGCATGTCGAAGATGACTTAAAAGAAATTAGACTTCATAATTTAACGGCTTGAATTATTGGGCCTTTGTTTCTTTAAAAAAAAACACTTCTGCCCTTTTCTGAAACTCCGCCTTCAGAACGTCATCACTATTAACTCCTCAGCAGCGTTTTTTTGTGTTTATTGTCATAGATCCAGAATTTTAAAAGGGATTGTCCTTGTTAAATGAAAGCCGGCCGGTTTGTTACTTATTTTGAGCTCAACTGAAGAAAATGGAAAAAATGATTTTCCAGGTCGTTCTTCATTTGAAAACACTCTGCGTATTTGGTCAAGTTTTTAATAAAAGTAAGTAAAAGTAGAGTTTGGTGTACTTTAGAGTACAAGTCATCATAAAATGAAAAGGAAAGCAGAAAGCTTGGAGGAGATGGTCACTTTGTTATGTTTTTGCTTCTGAAAATAAAGACGGTCTGCGTCTTTACAGCCTAAAATTTCAACCTCATTTCAGCTCAGTTCAATTTGCTCATATTTCCACTCTATTTATCATTATTTAACCGGAATTCAGATCTCTCCACCCTCGCTGATGATCTCACTTGATTACGAGTCACCAAAACAAAGTCACGCATGCTAACATTTTGTTGAACTGCCTTTAGCTTTGACTCACACGTTACACATGGTATTGTTTTGATACTCTTCTGTGAAGTCACAAGACATATTTCCATCCCTTTTTTTTTTTTTTCACTCAATAAATTCTGGCATTGTCGTCTTGGGATATGCTTTTCCGGGAAGAAAAACACTTGTTGGTGAAGCAGCCTGGTTGTTCGGTACGTTCTGGTATTTGTCTGACCTCCTTTGGGTACATAATGTTGCTGTACCGAATGCAGCAACATTCGGTACAGCAAACCCACATTGTCTGGTACATCAGACAATAAGCGCCTTGAGCAGAACAGAGCAAACCTGAACTCATCAAACCACACGACCTTGTTCCATCGCTCCTCAGTCCAGGCTTTCGTGCACCTTCGCAAAGTGAAGCCCTTTTTCTCAGGTTTGCTTCACGGATGAGTGTTTTACTTGTAGCTACACCGTTGTTTAATCCCAATCTCTTGAGTTCCCTTTTCATCGTGGAAGTGCTCTCTAAACATAACCCCGAGGTCTACGTTTGTTTTCCTTCTATTGGACGCGCCGGCAATCATCCAGGGTTTCTTTCCAACCACATATCTTCCTCCCAGATGATGGTTCCCATCTATCCTTCCAGCTGTTCTTGGACGGGTCTCAGCCCAATTTCCGCCACTTCTACAATTTCCTGAAATGTTTTCTCCGCTTGCTGCCAATGATTCGACCTTTCTTAACCAGACTAACAGCTCTTCCAGCTATAGGGGCCGTGTGTTTCAACATCACAGGAAATGGGATACTACTAATTGCATCTGTTGGCATTAAATAACATCTTGCCAGCTTAAGCATAATCGCCCATCCAGTAATTATGTAATTGGAGGCTTCTGCTTGTTTGCTTAGTTAAATCCAGGTGGTAACTATTTTTGGCCAGGCAGTGTGTGACTTCGTTCTCGTTGTGCCGCACTTTGCAGGTTATTTCAGCTCATCTTACCTCTGCCTGGCTGGAATATTAAAAATTTTAATCAGGAATTTATCGGCTGAAGATGTTAGCATTAGATTTTTTATTTTTTTTACAAGATCTCATTAAGTCTGCCAAGTTTCAGTAGTGGTTAACGCTCTGGTTCCTGAGTTGAGTTTAGTCGTGCAGAAAAGTCCGAATCTACAGAGACATTTCATAATTTATTAATATGTGTGAGTAAAGGGACAGTCAATCAAGTGGGTTATTTTTATAACAAAAGACCCTAAGAGTTTTTTTGCTCTACTTTTTCAGCAACATGATGTTTGTGAAAATAAATTGTATTCTGTCTTTTAAAAAAAAACAAACAAAGCTGAAGTATCCCTGAAAACGTGACAAAGAGGGTGATGTCACAGCCGCCGCTGCAATAGTTACATGCAGAGGAGGCGTAATGATTTCATTTTCCTGCTGTCTTGTCAGAAAAATTTTTTAGTACTTTGCATGTTTTGCATTGCCACAATACCAAAATTTAACATCTACTGTTGTGGATTTGTGACACAGGCCAACACTTGTAAGCTTGTGAAAGCAATTGTTAGCATTTTATTAAGGGGTACCTGAATGAAAGGAGCTGAAAACATGTGCACACTTTTCCCATTTTTCAGATTTTTAATTTGTAAAAGATTACCCAGAATCCCTTTCCTTCCATTTCACAACGTTGCACTCCCTTGGTTTGGTCTGTCACAGGAAAATCCCCAATAAAACACATTAAAGTTTGACGTTCCCTAAATGTGGTAAAAGGGGAGTAAGACTGCCTTTCTGAGACACTATATCTGGAGACATGATGAATAAGATATGAATGTAAAAGCTCCACAATCCAATTCTGAGCGAGTCCTGCTGCGTTTTGTTTTCCAGTTATTCAGCTTTAAGTGTTTGTCAAAGCAATTCAGCTTCATTTCAGCTCCTTTATCTGCTCTGAGCACTTAGGACAGAAAGTAGCACTTTAAAATCTGCCAGCTAATGAGCTGCGGAGCCACTCTGCTTTCATGCTAAACTCACAATTCAATAGATAATTCTGTTAAGAACGCTTTATTCGGAAATATGTCCCGAATATTCTGCTCCTAATCGTTTTCCTCCTTGGGTTTTATGCTTGGGGCCAACAATAACGACCACTTTTGACCTTGTTTCTAAAAGGCTGAGCTAACATCAATTCAATTGCTTCAGCTTAGGATTGCTAATGTGTAGAGGTGTCAATTTTAACAAAGTTAGCTCTTTCATTAATTGGTACGTTAATCGATCTGCTCATTTTGTCCCATATTGGTAACAGTAGTTGTGCTTCCATCACTGATGATGGCAAAGCTTTGTCAATATTCCACTAATGTCGAAAAAACAGTTTCAGAATTGCAGTGTTTCCATTAAATCAGAAACACATTTAAAATCACATGCTTTCACGCTTTATGTCTTTAAAAACATGCCGCACCAGGATCCTCCAACTAAAGGGTTAAATGTTATCCACTACATGCAGATAGATGACGTGAACAGAGGAAAGGAGGAAGTCAGAAGGAGAGGCGCAGCGTTACCTGAAGCAGATCGGCCACAGCGAGGTTCATCATGAACACCACGGCCCTCTTGGTTTCCCGTACGTAGATTCTAAACACCCACAGCGCAAGGACGTTACCCAGTAAGCCCGGTGCCAAGATTATGCTGTACACCACAGCGTAAACTTGGTGCTGGAGCTCTTGCAGCATAGGTCCTCCAGTGCAGTTGATCTGGCTGTCATTCATTTTAAAGATAAGAGGATCTCTGCAGGAGGCTGGTGTCAGAAAAGCTGCCTTTGGTTTGATGAATGTTCAATCCGGGCTCCCATGCTGTCCGTTGTGGCGAAAGGAGTCCGTGCAGCGAGCCGTATTCCCGGGAACTTCTCAGCAGCTTTACAGACGAGAGGAACGACGACTTCAGGGGAGCTTTGTGTCCAATGCTGACAGTTTGCAGGTCTTCGGGTTAGTAAAGAATAGTCTGACGAAAGAGATGAGAGTTAGTGGAATGGAAGGTGAAAAGCCTAAAAGCTAAGGATCTTGGTTGCGCTGTCGCCAAAGCAGAAACATAGTTTGCGTCAGCCTGTGGTTTATACCTGACCTTGTGTCCTAGAGAGCATGCAAAGTTATAACTATGTTAAAACAGTTGAACTGGCTCTGCCTCTCAACATGCACTGACTGAAGAAACTCGCTCGATGTTTCGGTAACAGCCTGAATTGGCCACAGGATTTGCATACAGCCCAGCTGGCCATCAGGTTTTTAGAAAGAGCTCTTTCAGTGATCAAACACTGATGTCATTGTCATCCATACCAAAGTTTTCCTTGAATTCCTAACATTTGTTCATCCTGACAAAGTGCTTCATCAGGGTCCTGTCCAGTGAGGTAAGCAAACTGAAGGAGATGTAGATGTTGCATGCTTTCACACTTCTCCACTTGCACAACAAACCACTGTCAGCCTGTGTCGAGTGTCTAAGCACCAGCGAAACCACGCTACACAGAACAGTACTGGTTAGCGGGACATGCAACGCTACTCTGAACCCGCACAGTTTGATTCGATGGGGATCTCTTCTGTGGGTTAACACCCCCAGCAGGCATTTTGACACGTGAGGGGATGAATGGAAGCGAAACTTTCAGATGACATTTCACAGAGAAGAACTGCAGATGTTTTCCGCCCCAGGAAACAGTAATAACTAGCTTTCTGTAGACGCTTGTGGGTGTTGCTGTGTGTGAAGTGTGAAAGTTAAGATTATTTAAACTTGATGCTTTTCATCAAGGCAACACAAGCTGTATTTCGAGACAACCGCAGTCCAACCGAGAGTATCTCAGGAAATGTTATTAAATATTTTCAGATTTGCAATATTTATTTATTTTACATAAGGTTTATTGGTGACATTTTCTCTACGAAACTTTCAGCATGGATAGAGTGATCATCTGTTGCCCTGAATGCAGCTGGCAGGCACTGCTGCATGAGGACCGGATCTCCTGTGACTGTGTTGGGGTTGGGAAAAAAATCACACCAGGAAAAGATGCTACACTTGTTAGTAGCTACTTAAAAAAAATCAGTGATGAGAAAGTCCAAAACGCTTCTGAAATTTGGCAATAAATTTGGTAAGTTGGCAACACATGGCAGAAACTAATCAAAAATACACTAACATCGCACTTCATTCTTGTATTAGTGCCTTGTATTAATGTACAATAAATTATATTAGCATTAACTTGTATTAATGTTTACCATAAACAGTAAACACTGCATCACATAGGAGTAAAAAAAAAAAGCTGTACAGTACTAGTACTGTGCAGTAACTAGAGTACTTTTTTTGTTTGTTTAGCTGACAAACTGCTGCTTTCTGCCATGTTTGCTTGAACCACCAGCACACTGAAAAACTCAAACTCTGTAAGATGGAGGAGTAAAACATCCCCTGGAAACGGCCTCCGGTTCATTTGCCTATAGGCTCTGTTTTACTGCTGCAGCTGCTGATTACTTCAGATAAAGTTTGCGAGGTCTGTGTGGACGTTTCCGTGCTTGGAGTCGGCCTCTTTCGAAAATGAGCTGAACAAGTTTGCGGGGGGTGTAAAGTGACTAATAGGCTGAGCCAAGAGAATAAACAAAATCCCTACTGCCCAGATTTTGGAAGTGTTTTTTTTGGGGGGGGGTGGGATACAGCAGAGAGGGAGAGGATAAGAGCTGGAGATGAAATCTGCTTGTCAGGGCTTCACAGTTTAGAAGAATTGAAAGAAGCGTCTCAGTTCACCAGGCTGGTAAAATGTCTGGTAAAGGTCTGAAATCTTTACCAGACCTGAAAAAAGCTTTCAAATCAAATCAGAACAGAATCGCACAACAAAAGGTGAGCAAAGATTTGACTTGATTAGAGCTGGAAATAATAAATAGTTGTAAAATAAGAAGTACATGTATTATTTACAAGAAAATAGAAAACGTTTAAAGTATTTAGCATGAACAAATTCAAGCTGGGATTTTCATTAATTGTCCAAATTGGAGACAGTTAGGTCCCAAACTATTTATACTCCTGTCAGATTCATATATAAGATTATTATCATTCAGTCAAGTTGTACAGGCCGAATAATTGAGCAAAAAATAAATAAATTATAATGATTAGATCATTTTTTTGATATTCAGTGGGGGGAAAAAAATAACTCAAATGACGTTAAAAGTAATCAAACCGTTCTTCTAACCGTTCTCGACCAAATCAAAATGGCGCCGGGTGTCATGGCTCGCCGTCTCTCCCTCTCTCAGTCCTGAAATGTCCCTGCACTGTGTTCTTTGTTCTTCGCGGTGTCTCTACGAGTGATAAATACCCGCTCGTCGCCGGCGTGTGAGCAGGGCGGACTCTTCCCAACGTCCGTGACTCCCTGCCGAGGCTTCCTTTGCGCCGGACAGCGATTCGGAGGATCCCGGCCCCGGCCTCGGTACCTGAGGAACCGCGGCGTCGCGTCCCAGCGCGGATTCTCTCGAAGCGGGAAGCCCGGGCAAGTTAAGCGGTCGCGTGCGTGTTGCCAGCGCTCTGGAAAGCGTGCGCAGATCAGGTCTTGGGATCGTCAAACAGCGTTGCCTCCGTCCTTTTCAGCTTTTACGTCATCGGCTTAGTAGCCGTTGAACTGTTGGTAACCGAGGCAACGCGCGCGCTCAAACCTTCTCGCTGCCCGCTTCTTTGATGCTTTCAATCAGCTGGACTTTATGTTCTGAACGGAGGTCGTGATGTGGTTCTAATCATAATGATGTATCACCCTGTTAAATATAGGGATATTTTTAATTTCTGAATTTTCAGACTCTCTGTCATTCTGTCATTGCTCACTATTACGTAATGACAGATTAATAGTGTCATTAACAGACGTTTTATGTTCACTTATTGCTGTGAGGATAAACCAGCCAACATGTAAGGTGCATCTACATTTCTTCGCCCCAGGATGGCTCCTATGTCGTCTTGCCGCTGCGTAAAGTTAAGCAGCGCCTCCATTTTTACCCATGATTCTTCAGTGCACGTCCTCGCCATGAACTTGAACAATGCAACTTTTGAATTATTGGACTCTGATAAAAAAAATCTGAACCCCCGGCATGTATCTATATGGAAGTAAATATGTGCCATCAAGATTTGAATAAAAAATGATGTCATGGTCTCTTCATGACATCATGAACAGCAAAGGTCGTATTCTTTTCGAATGGACCCAGGCCACTCTGGTATCCGATCCATGTCCGATTCAAATGTGACCCAACGGATGAATGTGATTATGCTAATCTTATGCATTTTAAGCAGTATGCTGGAAAACTTACTTTTTCAGCAGTGACAAGTATGTTTAACACTTGCTTAAACATTATTTTCCAAATGTAGTCTTAATCTAATTTAGAATCCATTCTAATTAATTAAATATGACTGTACTGTTTTTGTCAGAGGCTTGTTTGATATTGTGCATTTAAGATTTTGGTAAAATGGCACAGCAGACCATGCTGTGGCGTCCCTCAAGGATCTGTGCTCGGCCCACTGCTGTTTTCTCCCCGTCTTCTTCCTCCAGGTCTCTTTTTTGCATTCGTTTAGCGTGACCTTTCAATGCTATGCTGATGTGAGAGGCCTCGCTACTCAGAACTGGAGGATAATTACCGTCTATTTAAACAATGACAATTTTTCAGTTTTATTTCTATTTGCAGGTCTGGCCCCATTGTGGCGAAATGCAGGCAGACTGAGCTGCAACTTTTAAATCCCCAGGCATAAATATTCACTTTATGAATTCAGATTTGAGCTGGAGATATTTTATTCCACCTGAGATCGTTGTGTTCTAAACATCCTTCTTCAATCTATTTTTGTGTGTCTGATTTTTGGAAATTATAAGACCATGTTCACACAGCAGGTCTTTTAATTTTTTGCTACTGATTAAACTCGATGCGATAGGCTGGCGGCCTGTCCAGGGTGGACCCCGCCTCTCGCCCGGAACGTAGCTGAAGATAGGCGCCAGCAACTCCTGACCCCACTAGGGACAAGGGTTTAAGAAAATAGATGGTTCCTAGTGTGTCACCGTTCACACAGTGAGATGTCTGTGTGAACGGTCTGTGATCTGTTTGGATATCTGGGTGCATAGAGTTTGTCTGTCTACTTTGTTTGGATTCAGAGAGTCACCAGTGGTCTTCCAGTCCTGAGAACGCATTTTATTCCACTGACCTTCTCGTGACCTATTGTCCGCTTATTCTCACTTTTATATCTACTGTCTACCTCACCACCCCTCTACATGAAGTAGTCGTTACTGTAACTCAACAGGCTTTCATTTCCTCTTTGAGTTTTGCTGCGAATTTGACCGTCTGTCGAAACCGGTGGCGGGCAGGGAGTTTCAAATGGAGAGCTTTGTGTCAAAGGTCATGTACAACGTAGAAGGCCACAAATACCTCGGGTTGAAGGGCTTCAGTCCAGAGATCTTGCCGATGGAAACATCGATTTCATCGGCTGTGATTCACCTCTCTGTGGGCGGCTGCGGGGGTTACACCGTTTCCATGCAGTCATGATCGGCGGCGTGGAATGGAAGTGCAGGGGAACCCGGGTCCTTCCACGTGCGAGCTGGAGGAAACGGACAAAACATGTGACCGTGCTCATGAAGCGCACTCGCAACTGGACACAGAGTAACACAGGTTGCCGGCACACTCAGCGGAGCAGGCGTTTGTTCCTCACTGTGGAGAAACGCGCGAGATCCCGAGACGTGACTCCACGCTCAAAGCACCCAGCTGTTTCACATCTCATTTCTTTTTTGCCTCTCGAAAAAAATAAAGAAAAGCAGGACAACACAACGAAAAGAACATGCACTGGCCATCCTCACCTCTCTCTCCTCAAACTTTCACGTCGTCTCAGCATCAAAAAGCAGAAGTGAGAAGCATCGGCTCTTTCCTCGCTCTCTCCGTCTCCGACTCCACCTGTTTTCTCACCTAAGTTTCAGAAACACTTTATGCCCGTCTATAATTTCCTGTTGTTCTCTCATTTCATTGTCGCTGTGCGTTTGCTTGTCTGTCTCTGTCTCTGTCTTCAGGATGAAATGGGGATTTTTAGCACACACACACACACACACACAGGGCTTCCTGTGTGAAGAGGAGTGGCTTGCAGGTTTTTTTTTTTTTCTGCTAACATTTCTAGTTCTGCTATTGGGTTCTTTGAAAGGAGTTTCGTGGGGATCGTGCTCACTCACACTTATGCCTGACTCCTTTCAGCGCCTCAAAAAGAGCAAATTTATAAAGTCTCATTTTCAGAAAAGTTGCTATTTTAGGAGCCTGAGATGTTACAGCGGATCGACAGCAGGAAGGCAGGCAGTGGGTACATTATTCTGTGTTTCCAGGGGTGGGCTGAACTTATATTGATGTCGGAGGCGTTTTTGTTTTTTGTTTTTCTTCAGCAGATGCATGAGAGGAGCAGGTGGGTGTGTTGAGGGGGCCCGGACCCAAACGGTTATCGCTTTTCAACGCAACGACAGCAGCTGCTGTCTTCAACCACGCTCCTTGAGAGGAAATGCAACAAAGAAAGAAAGAATGTGCCACTTTTATTTACTTTCTTTTTTTTTTTTTTTTTTTTCCATTTATAGGATGTCACAAAGAAAAAGACTCAAGTCAAAGCAACAGGGAGAAACAAACAAAACACTCACTGGAGACAAATATTAACAGACACATAAGACAAAAAGCATCGTTTGTATTTACAGTAAATTGCAATACACTGGCGGGTGTATTATCTGAAATTTCTACATTCAGAGTAGAGGACTGAAGACAAACATTTGAGAACTAATATGAGGAAACATGTGGTTGTTGTTTCTTATGCCTCCTTTCTTCTTGGTCACAGCTTTTCAACATTTTGGGAACATTTGATCAAATCCAAACCTCACATGTCAGCATACGTTAAACTCTCCGTGGATTTAAAGTCGGCATTGCTCCCAGCCGGTTGCCCTTTTTAAAAAATTTTTGTTTCATAACATTTTGTCATTTCAGTTCGGCTTAAATAGTAGAGCCTCGCAAGAGAATCTGTGCCTCCCAGTGTTTCCCGCGCGGTCACAAACGTCAGCGTATTTATTTGTTTTAGTCGTGCGTTGATGTAAAGTGGAAGGAAAAGTGTATTTTTACCAAACGAATGCGTGAAGATTGTACGCTTTCAGAGTTCTTTCTGTGATGCCCCAAAATAAAAACCGGTGGAACCAGTCAGACGTTATTCTGATTATGAACAGCTTCATGAAGATTAAGGAACGCAAGTAGGGACAGGTTCTTGGTCGTTATCCGATATGCCGATGTACTAAAACTCACTCGGCCAATAACCAAAACCAATACCGATATTTTTTTCTGACACTTTCTTACCTAAATTATATGGCTTTTTCTACTGTGTAATTAAGATGGGCATTATCTTTGCCAATTTAGCCTGCTACTGAGTGCAAATGCTAAAGGGAGAATGAATGTGATGTAACACTTCCAACTAGCAATATTTTTATGCCAAATGTATTCTAGACATTATCTCTAACACAATGGAAATGCTCAAACTGCAACTTTGTAAATCTTCACCAAACTAAACTCAACCTGTTCACAAGCAGCAAGTGAAAAACTCATCAGTCGAGCATTAATATGTAATAGTTTATGAAGTTGTGCTGCAGGCATCGTTGTCACTGGTCTGTCTTATAAAAACAATGCTTATTATATCGCTTGGTTATTTTGATGGAACGGTCGATGTTAAATTTTACAGTTCACGTTGTCCGATACATTCCAATAATATTGTGTGTCGCTAAACACAAGCACATAATTCAAGTAGATGCAAGCAGAGAGGTTGTTCATATAATAACCTTTGCAGGTGTTTACTAATTGCTGCTGTCACTAGTCTGAAGGAGCTATGAGGAAGACGGCGCTTGGTGAGAGCAAATGTTTTGGTAACCACGACTGGTTGCAATGGCAGATTAAAGGATTTGTCAAACATGAATAAAAGAATCAAAGCAACACTCCAGGTGTATTTTTGACGATGACATTGTGACATTCACAAAGTCAATTTCACATAACACCGTCCCTTTAAGAGGACTGAGAAGACTCAGAGAGCAGCAGGTTAAGCCTTATTATGTGAACTTTCCAATCAAAGTTCCTCACAACAATAAGTGAACATAAAAATCTGTTAATGACACTATTTATATGTCATTACGTAATAATCAAAGTGGAAAAATCAATCCAGTTGAGAATATCTGGCAAGACTTGAAAACTTGTGTCCACAGATGGTTCCACTTTACAATTGCACACTTGTTTTTTTTTCTCAAAAAGAAAAGACACAGAAATAGACAATTAAGTCTGTGACCAAAACAAATGTGAAAGAGTTCAAGAGGCAGCATGGACACTTTTGCGAGGCCCTCTGTGATCCTCTCTCTGCCATGCTAGTCCCTCTCGGAACAGGTGCTCTCCAACCTCAGCAGCTTGGCTTGCGTCAGGCCGTCTCTCGGGGAGCTTGGCGAGGACATGAACGAGTTGGAGAAGGACGAGGTGCGCCTGAGGTGCATTCTGAATTCGGCGTTCAGGAAGTAATACAGCAGCGGGTTCAGGCAGCAGCTCATGCTGGCCAGGCAGAGGGAAATGGGGTGAAACTGTTTGACGGCCAGCGTGGTGGCGCAGTGTGTGAGGAACCTCTGCGAGACCATCAAGTAGAGCAAGAAGTTGATGTGGTACGGGGCGAAGCAGAGCAGGAACAGAGCCGAGCAGCTCAGCACCATCTGCAGGGCGCGCCGCTTCTCGCTGCCGTTGGCGGGCTTTTCGTGGCTTTTGTCCGCCTGGCCGTTGGAAGTGAAGGACTGGAGTCTGCTGCGCATCGAGGCGGCGGGAGCGCCCGAGTCCTGCCGGTCCTGGGGCTGGCTGTGGTTGAGGGACCAGGCAATGCGGATGGAGCAGTAGCTGATGCAGACGAGTGGGAGCAGGAATCCAAACAGCTCGCACATGCTGATCATGCTGACAGCCAGCGGGACGGAGATCTTCCGCATGGGCAGGTCTTTGAAGCAGCTGCCGTTGCCGGTCGGGGCGCTGGCGTTCGGACTGCACGTCGGGCTCCACGGCGTGGCGTTGGCCGAGGGACGCTGGGCGAGGCTCTCGGTGGCGTTGGACGCGGCGCCGCCGCTCCCGCTGCTCCGCATCAGAATGAAAGGCGAGCAGGCGGCAGCGACAAACACCCACACCACCACGCTGATGAGCAGGTCGTAGCGACGCCTCCAGCGGCGGGCGGCGAACGGCTTGAGGAGGAACAAGTGTCTCTGCATGCTGATGCACACCTGAAACAGAAAGAGCATGATTCACACGGATATTTTTAGAAACCCGTCAAGAATCGTCTCATGACTTTCTGATCTTCTCAAAATGGCAACATAACCCTTCAGCTTTTTTCTGCAGTTTAGTCACGTTGCAACCACAAACCTGGGAGTTTTTTGGTGGGTCGTCATGTGATAGACCAACACAAAGCATATAAAGTGCAAGAACAGGTAGAAGCGGGTTTCAGAGTACTTTTCAGAAATAAGCAACAGAAACAGAAGAGTGGGTTGTTTTTTAGTCCATCACAACCACGTGCTTTCAGAAGTAACCCAATTAATAATTCAGTAAAATCCACTCACGCATGGATTAATTTCAGCGTAAATTCAACTGTTCCTTTAAAACAACGAGCAAAAGGCATCTGAAGACAAGTGAACAGTTGACAGGGAAAGTTGTGGGGAAGTTTGAAGCTGTTATAAAACTAAATACCAAGCTTCACGGCAAAAGAGCAGCGTCATCAGTAAGCAGATATAGGTAGAGTAACCAAAAACTGTACTCATGTAAGAGCGGAACATATATTTTTTACTCAAGTAAAAATAAAAAGTAGCCGTCCAAGAAAATAAAAAAGCATTTGGTGAAAAAGCTGCTCAGGTGATATAGAATCAGATTTTATGACGATGCAGTCACATAAACATTGTGTACAAGTGTAACGTATCGTAAATGTAAAGCAGTTCTGCCGTTTAAAATACTAAAATATAAACAACTTACAAATAAATACAAAATAATAATAAACTTTAAAAATGCCGCAGTTTTCTGTTATTAAAACTAAAGTTTAATCAGTGATACTTTTATAACAAGTTTATGTCAGATCACTATTTCTTGGTTAGTGTCAAAAAAAATTATATTTAAAGTAGGTAATGTTAGAATAATTCAATGTACTTCCAGTGAGAATATGTGACTGTACTTTAGTCATTAAAGTTACTTGTGTTAGGTCGAATATCCAAGGATTTTACTCAGTTAAGACCAGAAATGAACAAGTAAAAATATAAAGTACGATGCTGTAAAAGTGTCCCTAGAAAGTAATTTGCGTTCCCCTAAAAGTTACTCAAGAAGACATGAAGAGCAGGTTAGATGACAAATAGCAAGGAAATTCTGGAAGAAAGATTTTTAGATCCTGCAAGCAAAAGTTGACCTTTGACACTAAACGAACGACCAGGGCTACAACCCGTTAGCTTAGACCAGCGTGTTTTATGATTCAAATGACGGCATTTCCTCCTCAGGGTGTCATCAAGGGATGCAGAACTCTGATAATCACCCATGTAATTTAAATAAGGTGTGGAAAAAAAACAAAAAAACGCAGCATAGAGAGACAGTGGTTTAGAGCGAAGCACAGAATGGCCTAATCAAAGCACAGCTCTAAATCTGAGAGAATCGGTAAGAAACATTTTCAAAGAAGGTACGGTCATTTGATTGATATAGCACATTTTCAGCAACAGCAGTTCAACGTGCTTTACATGAGTTAGAATGAAATACAACAAAACGACGAACCAAAAAAAAAAAAAAAGAAGTAGTAGTCCATGATTTCTAATAGGAGTTTCTCTGGATTCTAAGTTTATTCCAATTCCTGATTACATAAACTAGACGCTCCTGTTGTAAGTATAAGTTCTCTATAACTTATAAGCCAGAAGAGAAACTCCATGCATTCTGGTGGCGCTTCAGTTGTTTTGTCAGAAGGAATGGACAAACAATTCAGCTGGTCGAGAAAAAGTTCTGCTAACCCTAACCCTACCCCGCATCAACCCGGGTTCTAGATTGTCAATTGATCCTAATATGAAGCACTGATATATTTTCAGTCATGTCGTCCAGCCTTAGTCGATGCAAACGTTTTCAAGAGGCTTCAGTACTTCTACAAAAGTTCAGTGTTTGACTTTATGTTCTCATAATTTCATCAGACGTCGCTGTTATATTTTCATGAGGTTTAATTTAAAATAAAATACTTTTTTTTTAAAAAACTGCACTCTTACCAGGAACACAATTGCGGCATACATATTTAGGTATTTGAGGTAAAAGCAGAGCAGGCAGACGCCTTTTCCGAAGGGCCAGGAGTGAGTGAAGTAATAGTAGATCCGTAGGGGCAGAGAGAGGACGTGGATCAGGTCTGCCAAAGCCAGGTTTATCATGAATATCACCGCTTTGGTCTTCTTACTGCGGAACGACACAGAGGAGTCGGTTAGTAGCTGCAGGACAGTGCGCGCCGTTGCGCAAGAGTTTTGAAACATAAGCGGTTTCCTTTGGCTTTTAACGGCAGCAGATACAATCGATCGAAGGGATCTTGAGTAACGTTGGGTCTTTTGAAGGCCCAGCAAAAAGCAATCGCTTCAGCCGATGAGGGTCGGGGCGAAAGTCCAAACGAATCGTGAAGAACATTTGCCCTTTTATGCGCCCGGCCTACCTGAAGTGTTTGCAGAGGACCCAGAGAGCGGTGGTGTTGAGGAAGAGGCCGGGGACGAAGAGCAGCAGGTAGAAGTAGGTGTACATCTTCTCCATCGTCTGCTCCCAGCAGGACAAGTCATGGTTGCAGGACGGGTGGTGGAGGTTGCTCGAGAACCCGTCTGTCGGTCCAGTTTCATTTGCAGTCATTATGTTGCTGTTCTCTTATTAAGTGAAAACACCACCAATGGCGGGTTTGTCAGTTCATGTTCTTAGTCAGCATCGCTACTGAAAGAGAAGAGGAAAAGAGGTGTCAAAGCAGCGAGAAAAAAACAGAGAAAGTTGCTCTGACTTGTTCACAAACTCACAAAAGGAGAAACTTCTTCATACGAGTTTGTTCTGAGCAGAGCTGGGGACGTTTTTGCCGAACCAAACGGGCCTGCCGTCCAGCCCCACATCCCTCGCCTCAACTTTCGCTATCGCGATGAGCAGCTGTTTTTCCTCCGACGCGCTGCCACGTTCTAGCAGAACAGCTGCTTCAGAACCCGTTTGTCTATGTCTGCTGTCTTACGTTTGCTCCCGCTTGTCCTACAGCCTGCTATTTATAGAAATGTCCTCAAAGCAACTGGTTTGTTGAGCTGTGTAAAACCTTTATCTTTTATCACAGAAAAAAAAGCTTGATGGAGGTAAATCAATACCTGTGCATGAGAATATAAATAGCATAAAATTGTTGTTAACTCTACTGTCAATACTTTCTAAGACAGCAGCACCAGACTCTTTTTTTTCCCCCTCAAAATATCCTGGTATTTGAAAGAAAAGAGTCCACAAAAATTACTGGGGGCCTCACTCGAAACTTGGACTGAGGCTGAAACTTGTGTTTTTGTGACTGACTGTTTTAACTGCATGAGTTTGGTTACTTGCATTGAGGACATCTTGGACAAAGACAAGAACAAACTCCTTCCGAGGTGAGAAGTGGTTTGAAATGAAACGACCCAATTCCTCCACACGCCTGCGCTGTCTGAAAGACTGAAGACAGATTCAGCAGAAAGGGGAGACGTTGCGCTCTCCTGCCGACATCGGGTCATTACGGTAACTCTGACCCCCGGCTGTAGCAGGAAGTGAAATTGATCTGCTCTTTTAATAGACAGTAAATAGTAAAAATAACTTGGTAGATATCGAAAGTCCCAGTTGTTATGGTTTAATGGGCAAAATATATTTACTCAGGACATTTAAAGAACTGGGTACTATTAATAAAAGCAGATATTTTAAACTTAGGACATAAAGAGTTAAAGAAACAGACTAATAGAGAAGTGTGTTTAAAAAATTCATTAAAAAGACAACAACTAAAGGTTCAAAACAACTGTGTTTAAGTAGTAAAAGGTTCAGATGTGGAATAATTGTTGTGAGGAGTCAAAACTTTGTTTTTCACTCATTAAATAAAAAAAAAATTGATAAATATAATTTGCTAAACTACAATAAGGTTTGATTTTGTTTTATTTTGCGGGTTTCCCTGCAGACTCAGCTGGAACTAAACCAGAAAAGATTCTGCTGTTTGGATTTTGATGCCGCCGTGTGAAGGCATAATAAGTTTGTGGTTCTTGTGTTTTCACCACTGACATCAATTGAAATATTGTTTATATGTTTCTGCATTGGTCTGGTCTTTGTTGCTGCTGTCTTGTTGTCAGGATTGTGTTTTTTCTTTTTTTATTATTAGTTCACTCTTTTGGACTTGTGCGTAGAAGCGTTGAAAATGGCCGACAGTAAATAAATAAATATCCTTACTAATTGTGTTCGATTTCCATCTTCCTCCAATCTGTTCAGCATCTTTGCTTCCATCTCTGTCTGCTCTGTTATCCATCAAGTCCATGTGACTTGATGGATAACAGTCAATCCAGCATCCAATTATCGCTTTTAAGACATTTTAATGTGCTAATGTTGAACATTTGCACATTATAGGATGTTGGTTTAACGCGTGATGCACTCCGGCGCCCGGGGAGTTTGTTGCAGAAGCTGCCAGTCGACCAGAGGCTCCAGCTAAAGTCCCAGCAGTTTTGCAGCTGTTTTTAAATCAAACCTCCAGGTTCTCAGGGTTCACACGAACATCCAATGACTTTTTTATTATTATTATTTTTTTTCCTTGTTCCTCTGGATGTTGCATCTCTAAATCTGATCACGCCATCAACACCTCATTTTTTCCTGCTGTGGTCCAGGAGATACAGACTCCAGCAGCCAAGGTGCAGCCCTGCCCTGAAGTTTACGGCCTAACAGTTTAGAGGAGGGGTTTTCCTGATAAACCGCAGAGTTAGATAAAAAAACAAAACAAACAAACTGGAAGCACCCGCGTCAGCCCTGTCAGAGAAAGCTTCGTGAGATTTCACAATGTAGTATTAAGTAAGCACTTTCTACAAATTTGAATTCCCTTTTTCAGCTCATGAAGATGGCATGCAGTGCGAAACTAAAGGAGCCGCGTGAAAGCAAAGCCCAACAGTTGTCAGGATTGTTAATTGTTTTGCGTGCTCAACAGTGTTGACATTGAAGGAAGCAGACTAAACTTTGATAAAGACTGCAACAGGAAATCTAATGCTCAGAGCGTGTTTTTTTAAATTGTTTTTATCAGAGAAGCATCAGCCTTCCCTCTGTCATCAAGACTGGTCCACACCCTTCCTACAAGAGGAAGAGAAAAACAGTGACATTTTTTTTTCCTCTTTCTTTTTGGCCGTTTTGCTGGAAACCTGGACTTGTCTCGACCCATGAACGGTGTTGGATAGATGTTGTCTGGTCGTCCAACATCTAGCCGTTTTTTCTTTCACTCCGCGAACGTCTCCAGACTGAGATACAGAGATGCTCTCCTCATCTTAAAACTTCTTAGATCGGGATTACAAAGCAAAACATAAGACAGCGGGACCCAGCAGTCAAGACGTCGATCACACCTCAGACGCATGAAAATGATTTCAAAACAAGCCCGAGTCATCCAAAAATGCCAAGCGTGTCAAACCGCAAGGACACGCAGCCAAACTTCCTCTAGGACGCTACGCTCAAAAAGAAGGTCAGTCATTACCTTGTGTTGCCGCGTCTTCTCCAGAACTCATCATCGGACGCTGAAGGACGAGTCCAGAGCTGGAGACATGTGCTGGCACCCGCATGCTGCGACTGCTTCATCCAACATACACTCCTCCTCCGGCTGCACAGTAGCAAACACACACACACACACACCTTCCTCTCCTTCCTCTTTCTTGTGCACTTTTTTTTTGTTTGCACGAGACGAAGAGACTCGTCCGTTAGCTTGTGAAGTCAGCAAATCCTGCGTACTGATGTGGTTTGCCTGTGGCTGCACGAAGAGGTGGCATCTGCTGCGAGCAGGCGCAGGGCTGACTCTTGGTTTCGGAGGCGAGCGATCATGAGGGGAAGGGGAAGCTCTGCCCTTCAAGGTCTGGCGGGGTGTTTTTCTGCCGTTTGATACGTCACCGACTGCCTAGCAACCCAGCAAATAGCAAAGGCTGACACAGAATCGATTGCACGTGCGGTTAAGAACGAGCAAAGGCAGGCTGCTCGCTGCCCAGGCTGAACGCTTCTATTCTCTTCCTTCCTCCTGTGATCGTCGGGCTCTCTTCAGCAGGTGTCGAAGCGGCCTCACTCCCTGTGTCGTGTGTGCGTACAGCAGAGCAAATGTTTACTTTGGAAGACTGAGTCGTTACAGAAGTGCTAATCAGCTTCCCCTGCTGCGATGCCGCTTCCCCTTTTTTTTCTTGAACACTTTGGCAAAAGAAGAAAGAAAACAAATCAAACTGCCCATTTTTCCAGCTGCAGAGTGGCACAGAGCGTGGGGCTTTTTTTAAACGAACCACAGCAGGCACACTTATAGTTTATATCCAAGTAGAGAACCATAAAAACGTAGAAAGACAAACTGACTCAGCAGGTGTGAGGCTCTTAAAGGTAAGACTCAGTGTGGCCCCTGCATTCTGCCTTTTAGCCACTAGATGTCACACTGGCCCAACGCGAAGCAGCCGCTGCTTTACACTCGGAGGCCCAGCAGCTGATTGCTTCCACCGTCAGCCTCAAGGGAAACTTTCTTGCATGCTTCAAAGCTCCTGCTCCTCTTACTTCCTGCCCTTGTGTCTGTCGCCCCTCTAGTTGCCACCCCCGGCCCCGGACTCCACAAAGCGCCGGCTGCTATGAGCCTCTGCAGTTGAACCTGAAACGGTCCCAGAAACTGATGGTTTCTGACTCACTCGGTCGACATACCGTCGCAGGATTAGCAGTGGAGGGTGTGAACTTCTGACGGTTACTGATGTCCTGCCAGAGGCTTGAAAAGATGCAGTTTTCTACAAACAGTAAGCCTTAATGGAAACGCGGCGATTTAAAAACAACTCAAGTTTGTTTTTGTATATAAAGCTCTGCGATAAGCTTCACTGGCCAGAGCGCTTTCTCCCACGCGGTTCATCGATGTACACGGCTTTTTGCAAACTGCTAATGAGAGTGTTTAATGTTTTCCTGCCAACAAATGTTGTTTTTTTTATCACCACTCTTTACATTTCCGCTGCGATCCAGAATAAAAGGTTGCACACAATTCATTTGTAGAAACCAATGTCACTTCATCGACGCGCATTTTCTTCCTCTGAGCGGTGCTGACTCAGCACCGCTCAGAGCTCCGGTTTGTGAGGTAAACAAGGCAGGAGTGTTCATCCGTTCTGTGGAATGTGAGCATATTTGTTGCGTGTAAGAGACTTTGAGCAGATCTGCAGTCTAATGCCAGATTAGGGCAGAGAGCCCTCATTCAGAGGCAAACAATGGGCCGTTTCTCAAGTCATAATCAGCGCCTGGCCTGCGACTCGGCACGCAGGCCGAAGTCCTCAAACAGGGCCACTCGCTGAGCCAGAGTGGAAAAAAAACTCTTACGGGAGTGAAACCCTACAGTCCAGTTCAGAGGAGGCTTGACTAACCGGGGACCGAGCTGGAAGAGGAACAATAAATAAAGGCGACAAATGAATAAATGGAAAATCAAAGAGACACCAAGTTAAACAAAACTTCAACATGACACACATTTAATTCAGCAGGTTGACATAATACTGCTTTATATAGGAACACTGGATCTGAGCACACTGCACCACGACAGAGTGACGGGGCCACGCTAAGAAAAGGATTTAATGACATGACAGAATAAGGCCACAATGTCATGAGGATGAAGTGTAAATTATATGAGAATACAGTTGTGATATTTTGAGAATAAAGACACAAGAATAAAGTCATAAAATCATGACTTTATTCTGGAAATAAAGTTATGATTTGAAAATGAAGGTCTGTCTTCTCAAAAATATTACAACTTTCTTCTCAAATATTTATTCCAGTATTATTTCAACATTATTCTCGTGCAACTTTCTTCTCCTAAAATGACGATTGTGTCTTGTTAGTACTATAACTTCTATTCTCGTAATTTGATGAGTTTAACTTTGGTTCCTGAGCGCGGCCCTGAGCCCCCGCCGTACGGATCAGAGTCGCTGCATCGATGATATGACAGACTGGCAGAGCTCAGACTTTCTAACTATAAAGATGTTGTTACAAACGCAGTAAACGGCTCACACCCACAAAGTGAGTAAAATCTCCATCTTATGCACAGCTCAGTGTCAGTCTGTGTGTTTGTGAGTCTCTCTGAGCGGCTCCTTGTCTCTGTCACGGCGGATCTGCCACCCCTCTGCCCCGCGTGTGTGTGTGCGCGCGTGTGTGTGTGTGTGTGCTTGTGTGTGTGTGCTTGGGTGTGTGTGTGTGTGTGTGTGTGTGTGTGTGTGTGTGTGTGTGTGTGTGTGTTATAACAAACACAGATACATTCCTCTGTTCTCCAGTGCTGGATTAATCCACAAAGCCCAGGCCATACCTCAGGACTTACCTCTGGTCTTAGCTAATCTGCTGAGCTATTTGTTTTCCACTTCCACAATTAAACAGCTGATTGTTGTTCAAGTTCAGGGTTCCTCCAGAACCCGCCCGCGGCCCGTTTTCACCCCTGACAGCGCCGAGTCATAGCTGGCTGTCGGATATCGTGGCGTCTTTCCCGTTGCTGGACTGAGTGTCTCTGGGGACGGCCGTGTCCTGGGCCTCGTTGTCGCTGCGCGGGATGCTCTCGGGCCGCGAGCCGGACCCCTTGCCACCGATGGTCAGGCTCTTCTTGAAGCTCTCTGAGGTGAAGTAGTACACCACGGGGTCCAGGCAGCAGTTGAGGCTGGCCAGACACAGGGTGATGGGGTACAGGGTCCGGGCGAACCGCTCCACGGCACAGTTAGCCAGGGCCTGGGTCCGCACCAGGGCGTACAGGAAGAGCAGGAAGTTGTACGGGACGAAGCAGACGATGAAAATGGTGAGATGGACCACGATCATCCGCAGGACGCGCTTCTTGCTGTCGCAGCCGTGGCCGGCGCTGACCGGGCGGCGCAGCGTCCGGAGAACCAGGGAGGAGCACACCAGGTTGGCCAGGAGCGGGAAGAGAAAACCCACGATCTGAGGAGGCGAAGGAGAGTTAAAGGACATGCAGTGCTTTTCAAAATGACTTGCACAGCTGGACAATATGAAAAACAAGCATATCACAATATTGTCACCTTGGTGAAACAATGGCCAGAGGTTTTGTTTTTCCAAATTGATCTTTTTTTTTTTTTTTGCCTAAATTGTCTTTAGTTTATCACACCGACCTAGCTTAGCAGGCAGTGACAGGCTGAACCAGCTAATGCATTTCCTCTGCCTACATCCCCCAGAATCCTGTGCGGTTCTGGATCAGAGTGCAGTGAAACTATTCCCTATTTTACCAGACATATTGTCTATTGATTTTGGTAATGTATCTGTTGTGACACATACTGCTGCTGTTGATACTCTTGCACGTTTTTCACATGCTGTCAAGTTAAGCCAACTACCAGAAGTCTTGGGTCTTCAACTTGCGGCTCCAGAGCCATGAGTGGCTCATTGGAGCTCCCACAACGGCTCCCAAAAGCTCTGACTGGAGTTTTTAACACTAAAGCACAACAGCGTTACACTGAAAATACAAATAATATTCATTTAGACCCATTTTTCTTGTCGTTATATTGGAAACTAGATGCTGTTTTATTCATGTTTCCACAAATATAAACATCCCATAGCAGGAAATGCATCCATCCTCTTTCTGCAAAACATTTCACCCTTTAGACCTTTGTCTTAATGCCTAAAAATAGTAATAAAACTGTTGTTCTTTAGAAATAACAACACATTACCTATTATAGGTACTGTATTTCTCAAAAATGATGGTAAATTGTACTTCTTTCAAAAGGCAATGTAACTTTTGGGGCTCTAAAGAAACTGTATTTATTTGGAGTGAGAGCCAAAATGGCTCTTTGGATGATAAAGGCTGAAGTAGTTTCTAATTCTGACGTGGAATCGTAACATTTTGATCCAAGGATTTACAAATAAAATGTGAAAAGTGTTGCTTACGCTCACAACCCAACTCCCCTGAGGCGATACTTTGCTGAACTGAATGTTAATGCACTTCAGCCTCAACTAGAGGCTGAAGTTGTCAACACAGGTTGTACATTTTTATTTGTTAATCTTTGAAGTGAATGCGTATCACTTTCCTTCAGCTCAAAGTAGTGCAGCATTTTGCTTTGGTCTGTCATCTAAAACCCCAATAAAACACAAAGTTTTGACAAATATGTGAAAAGATTTAAAGCAGAGCCTGCCTGCTGTGTCTCTAGATACTGAACATGTACATCTGGCTGAGGATAGCTCAGCTTACCTCTATGAAGATGGTGATTTTGGAGAGGTAGGTCTTCCAGGTGTTCTTGGAAAATCCTTCAAAGCATGTGGTGGCTCTGTGTCTGCTGTTGATGGTGGAGAAGAAGGTCACCGATATCCCTCCGCCCACGATGGTGAGCCACACGGCGGCGCACACCAGCGCCGCGTTCCTCCTTGTCCGGATGGAGCGCGATCGAAACGGGTAGACTATCGCCAGGAAGCGGTCCACGCTGATGCAGGTGAGGAAGAGCATGCTGCCGTAGATGTTGGTGATGAAGGCCGTCCCGGACACCTTGCAGAGCCCGTCTCCGAAGGGCCAGTTGCGGTTGACGTTGTAGAAGACCTTGAACGGCAGCGTGAAGACGAAGACCAAGTCTGAAAACGCTAGGTTGGTCATGAACATTGTGGTCTCGTTGTGTATCTTCATCCGGAAGCAGAAGACGAAGAGGGCGGCGCAGTTGGTCATCAGGCCCGAAACGAAGACCACGCTATAAACCGCGGAGTACAAGTTGTACTTGAAGGAGTCGTCGATCCCGCAATCCTCCACTCCAGTTTCGTTAATCACAAGGCTGGCCATGGTGAGAGAAGAGACAAAGTCTTCACTGTAAAAAACAAAACAAAAACAAAAAGGACACAAATAGATCCTTGGGAAAGCAGCGGAAATCTGGGTGTCAGCAGGGGACCGTCCGCTGAAGCCCCCTCCAAGTCATCACGGACCCCCAGGCGGACGGAGCCGGACTCGGTCAGGATGCGCGGCTGCTCGGATCGCTGGTCCTCCTGCGGAGAGAAAAGGAAACGGCACTCAGGAACTTCCAGACTATAAAAGTCGCTCCCCAGAAAGCAAACCATGAATGTGCGCAGCGATAAAAACAGGGAAGAAACGAAATCTTAGAAATGTGCATAAAAAGAACAATGGAGGGCTTCAAGACGTCAACTGTTTACCTTTTCTTTGAAATGTTGAATTCAGTAAATCCATGCAGATTTTTATTCGACGACAGTCTGTTTTTCATTTCCGGCTCTCACCATGCAAACATTCCTGATTCAAAGTAGCTCCTAGTTAAAACAACACAAAATGCTGCCAAGTATTTTTAGCCTAATTTCTACTGGAAATATCTGAGTACACTTAAAATTAAAACCAAACTACCTTTTTCAGGAAGATACAGCAGATTGTTTTAAGTCAATAATTTTTAAATATTGATATATATATAAAAGTATTCAGGCAGATTATTTCACTTTTGGGAAAAATCTCTTTGTATAAGTGAAAAAATACACTGGTGGGAAAAGTACTTTTAAATCAACATTAAGGAATTATTGACTAAGAAAATGGCTCATATGTGTTGCTGAAAAGTGATTCGTTAGTTAGTTTTGTCTTGCTTCAAGTGTATTAGGATATTTGCACCAGATCAAAAGCACTTAGTAGCCTTTTATGTGTTTGCGGTGCATAAACACCACGGCTTCACAGCATGAAAACCAGGATGGAAAAGGAGCTGCGGTGATTCAAGACTTGCTCAATCACAGCCTTCGCGTTTTCTGCTGAGCCTTTGTGGGCCTGGTTTGACTGTCCTGTGGGTTTCACAGACTGATGTGGTCAAGAAGAAGCTTTCAGTGACGTTCCTCCGCAGCCACACATTTAAAAATCGGCATCCAGGTGCACAGAAGAATCTGTGAGCAGCTGCCGGGTAGCTTGGTTTGGAGGGAGCCGCCGCGCAAAATCCAGTTATTGCGTTTGTTTACTGGCTGAAATATTTGAATTAGTAATTCAGGGGAAGTGGTGGACTGTGGGACTGTTTTGAGACATAACCAAGTAGCTCTCACACTTGTCCAACGAATGATGGAAAATCTGGACGTCCATTTGGCATTGACAGCTAAAGTAATGCAAACCACCCAAGCAGTAAACTTTGTACTATCTATTGTATGCTGCAGAGCTTATTTCTCCCCATCTCAGTCTTAAAATAAAAGCTTTGCCACACAAGGTTTGGGTTTGTTAGTCGCACGTAATGTGGGAACAGCTGTTTAATATCTGCTGAGGCCGGAAACAGGTGGCTAAAATCAGATGACAACGACATCTGGTGTTTGGTATATTTCTGCTCAAACTCTGGACCGTTGCAGAACTTCACCCCGATGACGGACAAAAAAACAAATGTACTTAGATTTTGTTTTTCCATAAAAGCCAACTGACTGCAAGTAGATACAAGTCTGAACTACTGCAAGATTTTCTTTTATGGCCTGACACAAAGTGATTTATTGTTGTGAATGGATGAATCGTTAACTGGAGTAAAGGAGGACAGGTAGTCTTGTCTGTATGGCACATTTTCAGCAACAAGGTAAATCAAAGCGCTTTGCATGAATTAGGAGGAAATACAACAAAACCACAAACCAAAGGAAAGAAGAACAAATGTAACAAAAATGTATAAAACTACACATTGGCTCCCCGTGTTTCAGAATAAGTAGCCTCTTTGTGAAACATGCAAGTGACATAGTTTCATTTTCACTCATTCAAATTCACTGGAGGAACGCCATGTTGTTGCATTTTAAGCTATAAGATGTTTATTTAAGAAAGGGAATGGATTATTTGTTTATTTATATTTTGTATATTTCTAATATTGTATATAAAAAAAAGATTTAGGTAGTTCAATGAAAAATCGACGCAATGCGTTACATTTAACAGACAGAATAATCAATGACTCACATAACCGTCAGTGGTCATTGTAGCAAGTCGAACTGGACTTATTACGTTATAAAGCAGAGGTAAGCTGGCTCTCCTGTAAAGACCCTCCGGCCTGAAGACCTCGTCCTGCGCCAGCTGCACTCTGACATCTCCACTGCATTTTCACACACCGCCCCCGAAAGCCTCCCATCCACCCTCACAATGGCCTCACTGTACCCGTCTGCAGCAAACACACACATTTACATATGCAGAAGCCTCCACATGCGAGCCCACAAGCGGGTAAACACTCACATGTGCCAACCCTCAACCGGGTCTCTGCGCGCCACTTTCTGCACGACGCTTTAGACGGGCAACGTTTGAGGCCCTGCCGAGGGATTTCGGTCCTGAGAGAGTGAATGAGTGCACCTCATGTGGCGGGTCGCGGACAGCTGCGCAGTTACGAGGGCTTTACCCCGCGGCCGGACGCAGCAGCGACAGAAACAGGCCTCGGGACCCGCTGACACGGAGAGATCGAGTTCGGGCCCGGCTCACATCCAGCTGTTCTTTTCTCACACAAGCAAGGGGGAGGACAGGGAAGGCTGGGGGAAAACAACTTTAAAAAAAAAAGAAAAAAAAAGAGTTGTGTTTTAAACCCACGTCTTGGGGGTCACTGAGGATTCTGTTCAGGCTCGTGTCGCACTGAGAAACACCTCTGTGGACGTACCGACGAAGTTTCAGTGAAGAAGAAAAGGAACATGTGAACCGATGTGCTTCTCAATGGTTTGAAAGGGATTATAATCTTAGCCTTTCTATGCAACTCCTCTGGATTATAATCTCCTTCCAGTGAGTCTGGGCTTCCTCCCATTGACTTGGATTTCTCCAGTCGATTTTTGAACAGGCCAATCGGCGAGTGGGATAAGTTGTGAACAACGATGTTGACCTTTTTTGTGCTGTTTGAGAATTTGTTTTAGCAATGGCAGCGAAGGAATCGATCAATGCTGATCAGTTCGTGTTCAGGTTTCCCCATATTGAATCAACGCCAACCAGCCGTCTCATTCGGATCGGCACTTCTCTCTTGGCAGTGGAGGACGGTTATTTACTGGCAGTAATTTCTGGTTAGCTTCATAGTGTCAAACCGGCGCTTCACGTACGGCGTGGGCAAATATTAGCGATTGCAAAAAATGTCAAACTTTAAAAGAGTTCTCGCCTCCAGGAAGCAATAGTTTCTCAATAGCTGGGAGTCCGGACCCTCCGGACGAAGTGAAGCATAGAACAAGATGCTGGTTTTTACCAATTTATTATAATCTGGAAATTTTGGCCTTTTTCAAGGTAGAACTCACCATTTCATGTCATCCTAAATATTAGCATCTACCTCAGGCTCAACAAACAATCTGTTGGTGATATCAAGGTTTGTAACTTTACGAAATTTAGTTGACACTTAAAAGTGTAACCTTTTCTACATCAAACGTAGTAAAAATTCACCTAAACTCTTGTGACATTTCATTATTTTAGAACAACAACGACACAAAGACGTTCAAGGGAAACAAAGTCCAGTAAGGCCTAACTTTAGTGGGAAGGTTGGCGAGTCGAGAAAGCAGCCATGAAGGTTTTTCTGATGCGGCAGAAAGAGAATCATAGAACAAGGAGAAAGTCATTCGCTTTGAGGAGAGACACTGTCGTCCAGTTTACTCGATATGGCAGGCAGATACTAAATTACAAAAAAGAAAAAAACAACGAAAACAAAACTAACTTGAAACCAAATAACATTTTAGTTGAATGACAAACTTCTTCACAATGTGCTAGCAGAATAAGCGCTAGGTTTAAGTCACTACAGTTTCAAAACCACCTTCTTTTGTTTTGTCGTACGTTTCCTACTATCTTAATGAGGCGCAAGTTTCAGAAAGCTGCACACGACTGGTCAGCTGGCTGAAAAAACCGACAGCTCAAATTTTGCTTGTTGGAACATCGACGGGAACGAAACAGCGACGGAGTGGAAACGAAAGGGAACATCTCCAAAAAACAAAGTTTTTTAAGCTAAAAACGACACGCAGCCTGGTGCTGGTCACTTTGCTGCCCTGTCGTTTTGCATCTTTTACGTTTTGGTTGTCTCTATTGGTCCTTTTACTCACTTCATGCCTTGTAGATCTTTGGTTCAAAACTCCACCTGGCTCCTTCCCACCTACCTTTCATAGAGAGTTTCACATTTATCTCACTTAACCTGCTATTTCCAATAAAAACACAAGACTCAAAACTGTCTTCTTTTTTCTTTTCTTTCTCCATTACTCTTCTATAGACATCTTCAAATGGGATTCCATAGCATCAATGTTCATTTTGACAAATAATTGCAACATCATGCCTGTTGCCAAGTGTGATGCTTCATTTAGTCCTTCACACATTCATACACATCAACCCGGTCAAATAAAACTGTGTATGTGAAGCGAAGATAAGCTTTGTGGTTTTCTGCAGTTTAGTAAATTATGTTTTTGTTTTTTTTTTAATATATGTTGCTGCAGTAGTTAAAAACAGAACACCTTGACCAAAAGCAGGCCTGTGTGACAAACTTTAAAGGAAAACGCCAGTGATGTTCTGATGCAGAGAGCAGAGACACTCACCGGCAGCTGATGACAGGCCGCCTCGCCGAGGGGCTTCCAGCTGTCAAAGGGTCCGGAGCCCCGGTCTTTGTTCGTTTGGACCAAAACTCTCCTCCAGAACCACTCGGTCGAGGTTTCCTCCCCCCCCCCCACCGAGCCCCACCGAGCCCCTCGCGCTCCGAGGCCGACCGCCGGCTCCCCGGCGTGAGAAGAGCAGCTTATGAGCTTGGAGCAAATCCCGCGGCTGTGAGTCCCTCCATTAATCCCGACGACTTGCTCCGGTCGTCCGGACCGGACCGGACCTCATCACAGCCACCCCAGAACTGCTGCCGCGCGCGCGCCAGAGAGAGAGAGAGAGAGAGAGACTGTGCGCGCGCGGACACAGAGGGCTGCTCGGCCACAGGAAGCGAGACAATAGCACCTCGAGGATGAAGGAGGAGGAAGAGGAGGAGGGCCTCCGATTAACCGTCTGTCTGTTTGCACCTTCATTCGCTCTCAAAAACATCTCCATCAATGATCCTCTCCAACACATGCATTCAACATGTGATTCGGCACATGTGCAATCCACTGATGAAAATGTGTTTTCAAAAAAACGCGCCCACTGAGGCGCACGGTGGTGGCAGCATCTTGATGTGGGCTGTTTGTTTTTCTCTCTCTCTAGATGAAGCTTAGGTTTTCGCGCCCAGTCAGTTTGGGCGCGAAGCCTTCAGGTGTCTTCGTGGAAAGCTGGGAGCTCAGAGCGTTTTCACTTTCCCACGTCCGGATGAACGACCAAGTCAACAAAAAGAAACAGATTCACAAAGGGAAAATGAAAGTTTTGGGTAAAGTCCAGGGCTTAAATCTGACCCGAGAGTTTGAGAGACGGCGCTTGGTGTTTTCCAATGTCGCAGGTTAAAATGTTGCAGGTCCAGGAAGCGTGCAACGCTGCTTTGTTTTCGCACTTTGTTTTGGCGAGGATTGGGAGACACCATGAAAAATGAAATCTAAATCTAATCTGTAGATTCATTGCGCTTGAAAAAGCAGCGCGGTGTTGGATCTGCAGGCTGTCGGTAGGTGGGCTGAAACGGTTCCAGGTTAGAACTGATCGAATTCAACATTTTCTGCTTCTGTCTTTGCGTCCATTGCAACAGCCTGAAAATATCATTCGATTCATTTAAAGAGACGTAATGTGCTTGTCTCGGTTGTGACACGGAGCTGTCTCTCTTTAAAACGTCCCCACAGACGAAAAGGTCACAAAGAAAACAGAACAAAGGCTTAAAATAAATTTACAGTCGACCAGCATCACGCAGAACCGCAACAACAACAAAAATAAAAAGCCGCTTGCTTGGGTGCATGAAGTCTCAGGGTGACAATATCTTGCTGTTTCGGTTGATCAAAGTGCTGCCACACCATTGTTACAACACAGTCATAATGTCTGAGGCCACCAAAAGAGCTATTTTTAACCAGGTGGCAGGGCGGTGTTGGACAGGTTCCCATTGTTTTCAGGATGGCATTGGGCTATGACCATGTGTGTGTGTGTGTGTGTGTGTGTGTGTGTGAGCGACATACAGATAGAGAGGCTCTGGACAGAGGGGAAGTGGTCTTTGTGGCCGTCTGGCAGGCTGACCGCTCCACAATAGCAGCAGGGAGGACAGGACATCCTGCTCACTACTGAACTCAGACACACATAACTGTGAGGACACACACGGCCCAACACACACCAGCACAAGCCTTCAAGCCTCCTTAATTACTGGCGTTGAGGAACATGTGTTCGTGAGCGCACGAGTCACACACTGTGATGAAAACAGATTTCCCTCATGGCGTTTCCTGGCATAAATCCTCCACAGTTTTAGGTTTTGCCGTGCTTGACGTGAGCAACACCTAGAACCACCGTTCCACTGCTTCCTCTTCTGACAGGCACTGGAAGACAGGAGCTGTGTGGGGCCTGAATGACAGGCTTAACTGTAAAACATCACTCCATAGTGTTTTGAATAGTTGGAGTTTATTGGGATGAATGCATCATGTTGGGCTGCTTCTTTCATCAAGGTTGCATTTTTGTCATTGTTACAAGTTCTTAGATGTACATTTTTTATAAATGGGGATAGGGCCATACATGGAGGCTGCTGTGCCGTGGAAACCCCATGGGAGGGGCGGCGGATTATATATTCTTTTTTATTTATTCTTCCCTTCTGGGTCCTAAAAGAAACAATCAAGACAAAGCCCTTACAGACTGCATTGTTCCCTAAATGTCAGCCTTTTGAAAAATATTTTAGGAAAGTGACCGAGGTCTTAAACGGGCAGTATCGTGTGTTTTCTAGGACATATTTTTTAAGCACAGTCAAGTAACTATGTTAACTTTAGCTGTTGTGAAAATGCTGTTCATATCAAATGTTACTCAAAAGAAATTTGACCTCTGTCTCTTTAAGAAGCTTCTGCTCTTTGTGAAACTCCACCTACAGGAGGCCATGACAACAAAGCTCCTCTTTTACCCCTTTAACGTTTTTATCAGCGTTGCACTGAGAAGTAGCTTGTGTAACAAGCTCAGCTTAGGTGTTTGCTAATTGCTAACCGGCTAGTCTGAAGGGGCTGAGTGGGGCAGGGCCGCTCTGTGATGCAGAAACTTGGAAGTTCCGAGGTGTAGCTGCGCCTCAAAGGCGGGGCTAGGTCCAACAAGGCGTTTTGCACAGATCAAAGGATTTCTCAAACATGCATGAAGGAGTCAAGGCAACCTTCCAGGAATATTTTTGATGAGGGAATAACATTATAGCATGTTGTAAAGCTTAAAAAATTAAATTTAAATTGCCTATTTTTAATCAATGTTAACCTCAGACTGGTCACATGACAACATTTCTTAACAGGCCAACATGCAAAGTCAGAGTAACATCCCTACCACTAAGTTCACCAAGTAATGTTTCCAGACAAATGGTTCCTATCTCCTCGCTGAGGGGATTGCTTTTGGAGCAACTGAAGACAACCCTATTCATAAGCAAACCATAAAACAAAGTCCATTCTTTAAATTCCCGGCCATATTTACACGCAGCACTCGGTCTTGGGCCGACAGACAGCTCCCGTCTTTAATGGGCTTTGGTGCAGGAAGTACTTTTTAAGAACGCTTCGGTTTTTTTAGGAGTGGGCAGAGAAACTCTGGCTTTGTTTAGTCTACGCAGCCGTTTAAAGCGTTTTCCAATACGGAGGGGTCAGTTTAGATCAGGGGCCCGTCTGCTTGACTGAAAGCCTGCGAAGCGGGCGCGAAACATTTCTTATTTGACAGCCTCTCTTCTCGGACTCGGTAATAATAATAAAACAGCTCCGGACTTCAAACATGCCTGGGATGAAGAGTATCACATTTTGCCGTCTACAAGGGGATTCGGTTTCCGATTACGTGACACGAAAGTATAAAAACTGTGTGTGTGTGCTTTTGTTTTCCTTGAACCATAAATGTGTGTCCAATATTTTCTTTCTCACTTTCTGCTAAAAACTGAAACTTTAAAGAAAAGGTTCAGAATTTGTCATTCGTCATATTAATTGTTTGGTTTCTTCATTCAGTATAAATCCAGACTGGCTGGTCCTGGAGATTTAAACTTTTTATATCGTGGACATGTTGCATTAATAAAATGTAAACATGCTTGTATGACCTTCAACCTTTACGGTTATTTCTGTAGGTGTGCCTCTGGCAGGCTTAGCCACGTCTGCTTGAGGTGCTTTGACTTTGAAGTTTTGAGCAAAGAACCAAATATTTCTAAGAATTTTAAATATTAATATATATTTCCAAATCTTTCCTGTTGGACATAAAACAAATTCCCACATCAGAGTTGAGTAAAGTGCCATCGAACTCATCTAAAGTGAAGTGCCAAGCTACTTAAGACATCTCCATTAGATTCCCTTTAAAAAAAAAACAACAAAAAAAACAAAAAAACATTTTAAGTTTTCCTTTAAGTATTTCCCACAACCCATAATGGTGTCATTAGTTATTTTCCTTCTCCATTTGAGCCATGCGTTTGGAGTCATTTTGAAAGTAATCACATAAAGAAAATCAATATCGGTGCTCAGAGACGATCAAGTTTCGTTGAGATGTTTTCTGAGCGTCCTCTCCGCCACACAATACTAAACTTTCTTCCCGCTATGACTTCATGTTCTTATGCCTCTTCTATTGACCTTTTGTGCGTGACGTCACGTTCTTCGGAGAGCGACCCACTCTGAAAGACAAACGTCAGAACAGACCGTTGGTAGCCTAACATCGTTTTCATTTAGTTGATTTCACTCCAGAGATGGTTACAGAGTGCTGCACAAACTTCGCAAACTGAAGTTCAGCGTAAACCTTTTATTGAAGAAGCAAGACGACAATGGAAGGCAGCCGTCAATCGTAAACACTAGCAGTTCTTGGTGTGTACGTGGATCTGCACTGAACAATCTTTAGAAGGTAATAAGATTAACATTTGTGTTCTTCATTAATAAGTACATTTAGTAACATATCATCAAATATTGCAGGACAGAGAAGATAGGCCTCTAATCCTTAGCAACCATAGAGAAAATGAACTACTATCATGTAAGCCCAGAGGTTCTCAAACGTTTCACTGGAACTAATGTAGCAAAAAACTAGTGTGTGTGTAAACTTTGTAGGTCTTCAATTCTTTCGTGGTTGTGGCGCGATGCTCAGAAGGGGCACAGCAAATGTCACGGTTGGACAGGCGGGAAGCAGGGGGTTGTCCCATCAGACCGTCAGTTCCTGAAACCACACACACAAAAACTCGTAACAGCACATGTGACATCACAGAGGGTCCAAATCTCCCCGCCTCCTCCCCATCTCTTAGGACTTCCAGAGAGTTAAGTCTCCTCAGGGATTTGGGGAAATGCCTTTATGGGTTGGGATCTACGCTTGCTATTTCCAATTTTTTAAAATACGATGGTCTATGAGCGCCAAATAGGTTTGTTACTTCCACAGACAAATTAGCTGGACTTAAAACGAGGAGAAGCCATGGCTACTAAGGGTCCAAGTTGGCAGAAAGAAATTGGAACAGCAATCGCAGTTGCTCTGTTCAACAGATCTGTCCCTCACTTTCGATGTCCGACACGGCGCCTCGCATGATTGAGTGACTTAGTTGCAAAGGGTCAAAAGTCACAGGTGTTTTGTAGGTTCATCATAACTAACACCAGGTTAGATTGAAGAACAGAAACACCCTTCAGTCCTCACGCTGGCCCCCTGGCTGCTAATGTGTTTGGTAACGGTAACTAAGCAGTGCTAACCAGGCCAAGCCTTTGTGAGTCACACCAACCAAAACAAACAAAAAAAACTATTATTGCAGCCCTGCTCGTCCTCCTCCACCACC